GGATGGGGGTCCCCGCTCAAACGGGAGCCCCCTCCCCTCGGGATCCGACAACCCGAACCCATATCTGCAGCGCCTTCATCTCCTTGCCCTTCAGCAGACCTCCTCCCCAATAGGTTTGGGCGCGTCTTGTTCTTTCATCACGTACTGCGGCGCTCCAGGGCCGAAGTCTCGAGGCGAATTCGGGCCGCGGGCACGAGAGGGCTCAGAACAGGACGGCGAGGCCCAAGAAGCCTGAACCCGCGAAGCGGATGTCGGCGCCTCGGTTTCTGTTCCGTCCTCGACCCTGGAGCTCCAGACCCGTTCCCCTGGGGACAGATCTTCGTCCTGGGCAAACTGCTCGTAAGGAGCAGCTTCCTCGTCAGGATTCCCTGTGCGGCGCTGTGGCCCCCAGTGCTTGCTACGACTGGCTCGCGCGTCCCGAGGACACGCCGACGGCGATGTGGGCAACGGCGGCGTAGGCTTCAGTGTTGTAGGTGCGGGTGGTTCGCGGCCAACCCAATGGCAGGAAAGCGTTGCCCGTGCTCTCCCACCACTCGCTCTGCGCGAGGTCAGCGCCGCAGGAGCCAGGCTCGTCGCACCTCCCCGTTCGCCAATGTCGCCCCGTCCGCCTCGCCTGGGGGCGTTCACCGACTCCGCCACTGCCACACGAGGCTCCCGGGGCCCTCCAGGTCCAGAGTCGTTGGGCGCCGCGTAATGGGGGAGTCATACATGGGGGGGTGGCGAGGGTGGTCCGAAAAGGTACCCAAACGGTACCTAAACGAGCCCCCTGGGGCTCTGGAGGGGCCCGAAAGGGGCAGGAAAGGGGACCGTTTCTGACCCCCCCATCTATGACCCCGCCATTAAGCCACGCCCAGAGTCGGCGGCCCGGGTCTGCCCGTCCAAGCCGGGGGCCCGCGGCCCGCGGCCTCCTCCCACGTGGCCTCTCGGGCGTGGCCTCCCGCGCGTCGCCCAGGCCAAGCTTGATATGCCGTGGTCTGCGCAGCGCGGGCCCCCCGCGGTGGCCGGGGCCTCTGGTGAGAGCGGCGTCGACCGCGGTCAAGACTCTGGATGGTCGACGTGCGTGCTGGGCATTCAGCGGGCGAGGTTGAAGCGGCGAGCGGTGGAGCGTGAACTCTGCGCGCATCCGGTGCTGGCTTTCCGTGAGCCCATGGATCGGCGGGGAGCGAGGAGGGGAGTGAGAAGGAGCAGGCCTTCTCAGACGCCTCGGAAGTGCCTTGGCCTGCTGAGAAGTTTCCCAAGCCTTCCCGAAAACACATCAAAATTGTCACAAGGCGTGAGGCCTTCTGAGAAATCCCGCCGCCTTCTGAGAAGGCCTTCTCCTTCTCACTTCCCCCCCTCGCTCGCCGCCAAATGGAAGTCCCAACCCCTTTCCTCGAGCCGGCTTTTCATCGCAAGTTTTTGTGGTTGACGGCCCTGGGTTGGCTAAGGGCCCCCGCAGGCCAACAATTGCTGAAGCTTGGCCGTCGTGATCATATAGTGATAGTTTTCTTATTCATTGTTTTGCCGATCGGCGTGGGCCCTCGCACCCCCCCGTGGAGTAGATCTTGGCTGTTTTGGGCGCCGGTTTCTCTCTTCTTCCTTCTTCCGCTCTCGCACACATCATACTTCAACATGAGTGTGGCATTTCCGCCAAGTTGGTGCCACTGGTTCGCCGGCTTGCCTGGGCGACTCGCGTGGGGACCGCCCCACCCTGCAGGATATAAATCGGGTTTGTGTCTGTATCATCAGACTTTCTGCGCCCTTTGCGGCGGGTATAGAGCCACGTTTTGTTGGGAGAGCGTGCTCCTAAGCAGTGGCGGAACATCGCCTGGGCACCGAATCCGTGACATTTGTTTGGGCTCTTGCTGTCCACCGGGGGGTCACGATTTGCCCGCCGGTGGTGTTGTAGGCAGCTTACGGCGAGTGGCTTCGAACTGGTGCTTCGCGCGTTCCCTGCGCCCCAAACAAAAAAAACATATGGAGTCTCCCCCATAAGGCGCACTGTTGCAAACAGTCGCGTCAAGCAGAGGTCCGGAGCTCCCCCTCCCACTAGCTCCCCCTCTTCCGCCCAATGTCGAAACGCCGAATGAGAAGACGCTCGCAGATGCACGTCCCAACCAGAGCTCCCGACCCCTTCCCCGAGGCCCAAATTCCTCGTCCATGGATTCCTTCCGGATGGCTTCCCTGGGGCCCGCACTTCTGGGCCCGAGATCGAGGAGCAGCGCCCCGAGAGCACGCGGGCCAGGTCGCCGGAGAGCCGGGGCCCCGGGGGCGAACAGCTATCGCACGAGCATCCGCCTCCGGAGGTCCGCGCGGACCTCCGAGAGGTGATCATGCTCGTGCATATATGTCCTGCTCCTCGAGACTCTGGCCTCTCCACGGGTGGACCTGCGGCCGGGCCGAGGTGCAAGATCGAGGCCGCTTCGGGGATGGCCACCTATATGGCGTTCGCGCCTGCTGGCTGCTCTGGCTGCACCCTGGGGGAGGCCACCCTCGGCTGCTCTCTACCAGCTTGGCCGGCGGAGGGTCTCACGTTCTCTCGGGGGTGGCCCTCCTGTCCTCTGGCGCTGCTCTCTGCGCCCCCCTCCCCCCCCCCCCGGCGCGCCGAGGCGACTGGGGTGCCTGCTCCTCCTCCTGCGGGGGCGGCCAGCGCACTCGCCAGCGACACCCCGTCGCTCCGCACGGCCCCGGGCTCGGCACGTCCCTGCGCGGGCAGCGCGCGGCGCGCCCTCGCGGCAGGCCGCGCGCGCCGGGCGGGGGTCGCGGGCCCGGACCTCTGGCTGTGCTGGTTGTGCTCGGTCTCCGGCCCGTGCCGCCGAGCCGGGCCGCTCGGAGCGCTGTGACGCGACTCTCCCTCCTTCTCCCCCTCCCTCCCTCCCTCCCTTCTCACCTCCCTCACCTCCCTCCCTCCTCACCTCCCTCCCTCATTTCTTCCTTCCCGCAATCCTGGCATGCTTCCTCCGTTTCGGCCTCCAGGGCCCCCTCTTATCGGGCTCCATGCATAGGACCACCAGGAAAGCCCCAGGAAGTCCGACCTTTTCCCCAGGGCCGCCTTTTCATGCTGAGTAGTTTTCCGACGGCCCAGTTCTCCTACCGGTTTGAGGACTGGACCTTCTCCTCCACCTCGTCTCTCAGGAAGATAGTCATCGGGTCTCAGGTTGCCTCGGCGCATGCGGTGGCTCTGGATCCATTCTGGCCCCCCGAAGGGGCCAACACTCAGGAACAAAACGACCACATAAACATAATACCAGAACCCTTTTGGCGCAATTCCGGGAAAAACGGCTGAGACCAATTCGCAACAAGCATAGGCCAATGCTCCCACCAGTTCGTCCGTGATGCCGCAGTTCCCCCAAGTGCGCAACTGGTCTGTTTAGGGCGAGCAGTTGCTGCCGTAGCTCCCCTGCGTCATTGCCGCGGCGCCAAAAATCAAGCACCAACCTATCCGCGATGGTGTTTTGAGGTGTGCGGAGCAGGGTTCTTGGTTTCTTTTATGTCATTTGATTCACATAAAACACAGACCACGTGGGATTTACATAAAACTCCAAATCGAGTTGCCGCTCGAACCGTCCGAATGACATGAAGAAAAGTGATAACTGTTCTGGGAAATCCGCCGGCGAGGACATTCGGTTTTTCCGTTCGCCCGCCGGTTCTGTTTTCCGACGCCTGGCGGTCCCTGGAGATTGCCGCCTCGAAGTCGTTGACGCCCTGGAAGCGGGCGTGTGTTCGAGTGGGGTGACTCGGGCACATCTGTCTGCACGCCCCGGTCAAATAGGTTCGCGCGCCAGCCCGCGCGCAGAGGCGGGCGCCCATTCGGAAATTGTACGCCTATTATGTTTATGTCGGCTTCTCGTTCCCTAAACACACCTCCACGTCCACCGCCCTCCAGGGTCCCAGGGCGTCGGTTGCCCAGGCGGTCTGGGTCCTTCTCCCCCCCAGCCCCCCCCCCCCCCCCTCCCCCCTTCTCCCCCACTCCCCCCCCTTCCCCCCCCCCCCCCCCCCGCCCCCCAAACTCCTCACCCCCCTTCTTCCCTCCCCTTCCCTCTTCCTCCCCCTCCCTCCCTGCCCCGCCTTCCTCCTCTTCCCCCTCCCCCCCTCCTCCCCCCCCCTCCCTCCCTCACCCCCCTCCTCCTCCCACCCCCCTCCCTCCTCCTCCCCCCTCCTCCCCCCCGCGGGCGAAAAAAAAAACACCTGTTTGATTATTTGGGTGCATTTTTCGTGACAAGTTTTGTTGGTTCTTTCAACATCCGCCTGCGTAGAACATGCCCGACCTAACCCGCGGGCGGACCCGGGGGCGTCTTTGTTGCGCGTGCCCCCGGGCTCGCGCCCCGGAGGCGCGAGGGCGTCGCGGCGACGGGCAATCGCAAGGACAGCGTCGATTGAGCGTCGACTTGGCGTCGACTCGGCGTGGGTTTGCCTCGGCTTCGCGTCGGTCAGCGTCGTCCGCGGCCTCCCGCCCCGTGGGTGCCCAGGGGCGCGGAGGCGGCAGGTTCGCGTCGGCGCGGCGGCGCTCCCGCCGCGGGCGTCCGAGGCGGCACGCCGCCCAGGTGGCCCAGAGTCGACCCCTGCGGCACGGCCCGGCGGTCTCGATAGGCGCCGCCGACCGTTCCCGGCGGAGCGGCTCGCGCGGCGTCGGAGGAGCCGCCGCCGCGGCCGTCGCGGCGCGCCCCTTCCCTGCCGTGCGGACGCGCCTGTCGCTCGTGGGCCCCGCCCAGGCCGTTCTGGCTCAGGGCCATCGGCTCGATGGCCCCGCGGCGGCCTCGCGCCCGCTAACGCTCGCGAGCCGCCGCCGCGCTCTCCGCCCCCCCGCAGTTGGAGGGAGGAGACGCGGCACCAACACCGCCAGAGGGGGCCACCTCCCTGGGAGGCCCACGAGGCCTCCCCGAGCTGGAGGCCGGGGGCGTCTCGAGCGAGACGGGCGGAGGGCCACACCACCGGGGAGACCCCCCTTGCGCCTGGCAACGCCTCGTCCTGGTGGTGTTGGCGTCGCTTTGCCTTCCTCCTGCCCGGCCTGGAGTGTGCAGATGGCGGCCCCGCCTGGCGACGGGCGCAGGCAGGGTGGGCGCCAACCCGGCCCAGACACGCTGGCGTCTCGAGGAATCGAGGCGGAGGTTTCCGTTGGCTCGCCGGGCGAGGCTGGAGCCTGGGACGAGGATCAATCCGCTCCAGAGCGTGCAGGAACGCTCTCAGAGCGCCCCCGAACGCTCTGAGAAGGCCGCGGCGCCCGAGACATCCTCCAGAGCCGCCAGATCTCGGAGATTCTCGATGTACCACCGCCCGAATTCTAGACGCTTCGCGTATCCCCATCAGTTTCAGTCGCGGCCGCAGCCCGACCGTGACCGCCCGCCGCTGGCGCTTCCGCCTGCGGCTGTAAAATTAGCCTGACGAAGGACCCATCCATGTGCAGGTGTGAATACCGCAGTTGACACTACCAATTTCGGTGGGGCTCCTGTAGGGCCAAGAAACGTGTGAAAGGGATGGGTGTGCGGGGCGCATGCGGGCGGCAGCACTGGGGCCTTCGGTGGAGCTCCCTATGGGGCCACGAAACGTGTGAGGGAGTTGACGAAATGAATGTGGCTGGCGCATGCGGGCGCGGGCACTGGGGCCTTCGGTGGAGCTCCCTATGGGGCCACGAAGCGTGTGAGGGGTGTGCCGAAATGGGTGTGGCTGGCGCATGCGGGCGCGGGCACTGGGGCCTTCGGCGGGGCTCACTATGGGGCCACGAAACGTGTGAGGGGTGTGCCGAAATGGGTGTACGCATGCGGGCGGGCACTGGGGCCTTCGGTGGAGCTCCCTATGGGGCCACGAAACGTGTGAGGGGTGTGCCGAAATGGGTGTTGACGCATGCGGGCGCGGGCACTGGGGCCTTCGGTGGAGCTCCCTATGGAGCCACGAAACGTGTGAGGGGTGTGCCGAAATGGGTGTGGCTGACGCATGCGGGCGCGGGCACTGGGGCCTTCGGTGGAGCTCCCTATGGAGCCACGAAACGTGTGAGGGGTGTGCCGAAATGGGTGTGGGTGACGCATGCGGCGCGGGCACTGGGGCCTTCGGTGGAGCTCCCTATGGGCCACGAAACGTGTGAGGGGTGTGCCGAAATGGGTGTGGCTGGCGCATGCGGGCGCGGGCACTGGGGCCTTCGGTGGAGCTCCCTATGGAGCCACGAAACGCATGTGAGGCCTTCGGTGTGCCGAAATAGGTGTGGCTGACGCATGCGGGCGCGGGCACTGGGGCCTTCGGTGGAGCTCCCTATGGCGCCACGAAGCGTGTGAGGGGTGTGCCGAAATGGGTGTGGCTGACGCATGCGGGCGCGGGCAGTGGGGCATTCGGTGGAGCTCCCTATGGAGCCACGAAGCGTGTGAGGGGTGTGCCGAAATGGGTGTGGCTGGCGCATGCGGGCGCGGGCACTGGGGCCTTCGGTGGAGCTCCCTATGGTGCCACGAAACGTGTGAGGGGTGTGCCGAATGGGTGTGGCTGACGCATGCGGGCGCAGGCACTGGGGCCTTCGGTGGAGCTCCCTATGGAGCCACGAAGCGTCTGAGGGGTGTGCCGAAATGGGTGTGGCTGACGCATGGGGGGGGGCACTGGGGCCTTCGGTGGAGCTCCCTATGGAGCCACGAAACGTGTGAGGGGTGTGCCGAAATGGGTGTGGCTGGCGCATGCGGGCGCGGGCACGGGTGCCTTCGGTGGAGCTCCCTATGGAGCCACGAAACGTGTGAGGGGTGTGTCGAATTAGATGTGGCTGACGCATGCGGGCGCGGGCACTGGGGCCTTCGCTGGAGCTCCCTGTGGAGCCACGAAACGAGTGAGGGGTGTGCCAAAATGGGCGTGGTTGACGCATGCGGGCGCGGGCACGGGGGCCTTCGGCGGAGCTTCTACTATGGGGCCACGAAACGTGTGAGGGGTGTGCCGAATTGTGTGTGGGTGACGCATGCAGGCGGCAGCACTGGGGCCTTCGGCGGGGCTCCTATGGGGCCACGAAACGTGTGAGTGGTGTGCCGAATTGGATGTGGGTGACGCACGCGGGCGGCAGCACTAGGGCCTTCGGTGGAACTCCCCATGGAGCCACGAAACGTGTGAGGGGTGTGCCGCAATGGGTGTGGCTGACGCATGCGGGCGCGGGCACTGGGGCCTTCGGTGGAGCTCCCTATGGAGCCACGAAACGTGTGAGGGGTGTGCCGAAATGGGTGTGGGTGACGCATGCGGGCGCGGGCACTGGGGCCTTCGGTGGAGCTCCCTATGGAGCCACGAAGCGTGTGAGGGGTGTGCCGAAATGGGTGTGGGTGACGCATGCGGGCGCGGGCACTGGGGCCTTCGGTGGAGCTCCCTATGGAGCCACGAAACGTGTGAGGGGTGTGCCGAAATGGGTGTGGGTGACGCATGCGGGCGCGGGCACTGGGGCCTTCGGTGGAGCTCCCTATGGAGCCACGAAGCGTGTGAGGGGTGTGCCGAAATGAGTGTGGGTGACGCATGCGGGCGCGGGCAGTGGGGCCTTCGGTGGAGCTCCCTATGGAGCCACGAAACGTGTGAGGGGTGTGCCGAAATGGGTGTGGGTGACGCATGCGGGCGCGGGCACTGAGGCCTTCGGTGGGACTCCCCATGGAGCAAAGAAACGTGTGAGGGGTGTTCCGAAATGGGCGTGGCTGACGCATGCGGGCGCGGGCACTGGGGCCTTCGGTGGAGCTCCCTGTGGAGCCACGAAACGGTGTACTGGGTGTGTGAAGAGGAGAGGAGGAGAGGAGGGGAGGAGAGGAGGAGAGGAGAGGAGAGGAGAGAAGAGGAGAGGAGAGGAACGCGGGGCACCGTCTCTTCAAAACGAAGACCCAACACCACAGAATGGTTGGGAAATTATCCTGGCGAAGGACCCAACCAGATGCAGTTGCGAGTACCGCAATTGCGAGTATCTTCTTCGATGGCGCTCCCTACGGGGCCACGAACCGTATGAGGGGTGTGCCGAAATCTGTGCGGTGGGCGCATGGGAGCGCAGCCACTGGGGCCTTCGCTGGAGCTCCCTATGGGGCCACGAAACGTGTGAGGGGTGTGCCGAAATGGGTGCGGTGGGCGCATGGGAGCGCAGCCACTGGGGCCTTCGCTGGAATTCCCCATGGGACCACGAACGTGTGGGGTGTGCCGAAATGGGTGCGGTGGGCGCATGGGAGCGCAGCCACTGGGGCCTTCGCTGGAGCTCCATATGGGCCACGAAACGTGTGAGGGTGTGCAGAAATGGGTGCGGTGGGCGCATGGGAGCGCAGCCTGGGGCCTTCGGTGGAGCTCCCTATGGGGCCACGAAACGTGTGAGGGGTGTGCAGAAATGGGTGCGGCGGGCGCATGGGAGCGCAGCCACTGGGGCCTTCGCTGGAGCTCCCTATGGGGCCACGAAACGTGTGAGGGGTGTGCCGAAATGGGTGCGGTGGCGCAGCCACTGGGGCCTTCGCTGGAGCTCCCTATGGGGCCACGAAACGTGTGATGGGTGTGCCGAAATGGGCGCGGTGGGCGCATGGGAGCGCAGCCACTGGGGCCTTCGCTGGAGCTCCATATGGGGCCACGAAACGTGTGAGGAGTGTGCAGAAATGGGTGCGGTGGGCGCATGGGAGCGCAGCCACTGGAGCCTTCGGTGGGGCTCCCTATGGGGCCACGAACGTGTGAGGGGTGTGCCGAAATCTGTGCGGTGGGCGCATGGGAGCGCAGCCACTGGGGCCTTCGCTGGAGCTCCCTATGGGGCCACGAAGCGTGTGAGGGGTGTGCCGAAATGGGTGCGGTGGGCGCATGGGAGCGCAGCCACTGGGGCCTTCGCTGGAGCTCCCCATGGGACCACGCAGCGTGTGATGGGTGTGCCGAAATGGGTGCGGTGGGCGCATGGGAGCGCAGCCACTGGGGCCTTCGCTGGAGCTCCATATGGGGCCACGAAACGTGTGAGGGGTGTGCAGAAATGGGTGCGGCGGGCGCATGGGAGCGCAGCCACCGGGGCCTTCGGTGGAGCTCCCGATGGAGCCACGAAACGTGTGAGGGGTGTGCCGAATTGGGTGTGGGTGACGCATGCGGGCGCGGGTACTGGGGCCTTCGGTGGAGCTCCTATGGGGCTACGAAGCGCTGTACTGGGTGGGTGAAACGCAGGGAAGAGGGGGAGGAGGGAGGAGGAGGGGGAGGAGGAGGAGAGGAGGAGAGGAGACGCGGGCCACCGTCTCTTCAAAACGAAGACCCAACACCACAGGATGGTTGGGAAAAAAGATATCCCCATCAGTGCGGCCCCCGCGCGCGCCCGGGTAATTCGTCACGGCCGCAGCCCGACCGTGACCCGCCGCCGCCGGCGCTTCCGCCTGCGGCTGTAAAAAAAATATCCCCATCAGCGTTGTCCTTCCGAGCGCCCCCACATGGTTGAGTTAGTCGCATGGCGCTACGTCGCATAGTTGTTCGGTACACGTCCACTCCCGAGCGACCTCGCGTTCTCGCTGTGTGGCTACCCTTGCACCCCTGCTGCGTCCTGACTAGTCCGCTGGTCCTCTGTACGCAGGCGCATCGTTCAGCAGTGGTTGGGTCTCCTTTGACTGCTCTGGCTTAGGCTTTCCCTTGCGTGGATGCGTTTTCTGATGCTGCGACGGTTCGCTGGCGCTGTCAGAACCTTTCTCCTGCTGGACGACGTCACCAGTTATTGTCTGCCCTTACCCGTCAGACTCCCTGGATTGACTTTCTCGCACGGGGACCGTTCCCTACCACGCGGTTGTCTCTACACGATCGCGGCCCGGGACGTACTGCGCGCCATTTTGGCTGCGCCTGGCTCGCCCGAGGGCTGACCTTTCAGACTCCCTGGGTTGCAGCTTGCACGACCGTCTCAGGTGACTGACCTTTCAGACTCCCTGGGGTTGCACGACCGCCTGGCCTCTCAGACGCCCTGGGTTGCCGCTGCTTGCCGCCTGATCCGCGGCCCCGCGCGCGCTCGGGAATTTAGTCGCGGCCGCAGCCCGACCGTGACTGTTCGCCGCCGGCGCTTCCGCCTGCGGCTGTATAAAAAAGTATCCCCATCAGTGTTTAATTTGGGTCATTTTGTCCCTCGCATGTGCATATGCCAATGCGGCCAATTAGCATCGTTCGCGCCCCGTTCGTTGTTGACCCGTTTCCTGACCTTCGCCTGGGAGCCGCCGACCAAAAAATCCCCATCAGCTTGACGCTGCTGGCGCGCTCGCCTGCGGCCGCGACGAAAAAAGTATCCCCATCAGCCCATCCAGAAACGATGTCCAGGCGAGTTGAGGTGATCAGGGAAGTGCGGGAGCAAACAAGGGGACGACTGAACCGTGCGAAGGAGGGAGGAGGAGAAGGAGGAGGCTGGATGGATGGATGGATGAGGGAGTGGGGAGAAGGAGGATAAATATGAGGAGGAGGTGGAGGAGGAGGAGGAGGAGGAGGAGGAGGAGGAGGAGGGGAGGAGGAGGAGGGAAGGAGGAGGAGGAGGAGGAGGACAGGAGGAGGAGGAGGAGGAGGAGGAAGAGAAGGAGTGGGAGGAGGAAGGAGGAGAAGGATAAGGAGGGCAAGCAAAAGGGCCAGAGGTCCCTTGGATGCCCCGGGGAGCCTCTTGGGAGAGGAGTCGGGAAGTCGGCCAGTTGGGGAATCGGGGAGTCGGCCAAGGGAAGTCGGGGAGTCGGGGAGTTGGGGGGTCGGCCAGTCGGGGAGTCGGGGAGTCGGAGTGTCGTGGAGTCGGGGAGTCGGCCAGTCGGGGACTCGGGGAGTCAGAGCGTCGGCCAGTTGGGAAGTCAATGAGTCAGGGGAGTCGGGAGAGTCGGAGAGTCGGCCCGTCGGTGAGTCGTGGAGACGGCGGTCGGGAAGTCGGCCTGCCGGGGAGTCGGCCAGTAGGGGAGTGGGGGAGTTGGGGGTTCGGCCAGCCGGGGAGTCGGCCAGTCGGGGAGTCGGGGAGTCGGCCAATCCGTGGGTCGGAGAGTCGGAGAGTCGGCCAGTCGGGGAGTCGGGGAGTCGGGGAGCGGGAGAGTCGGCCAGTCGGGGGGTCGGCCAGTCGGCCAGTCGGGGAGTCGGCCAGTCGGGAGCCGGGGGTCGGCCAGTCGGGGAGTCAGGGAGTCGGCCAGTCGGGGAGTCGAAAAGTCGGCCAATCCGGGAGTCGGAGAGTCTGGGAGTCGGGGAGTCGGGGAGTCGGGGAGCCAGAGAGTCGGACAGCCGGGGAGTCGGGGAGTCGGCCAGTCGGGGAGTCGGGGAGTCGAAGAGTCGGCCAGTCGGGGAGTCGGGGGGAGTCGGCAAGTCGGGTAGTCAGCCTGTCGGGGGGTCGGGAAAACGGGAAGTCGGGGTTCGGGAAGTTGGGGAGTCGGCCAGTCGGCCAGTGGGGGAGTCGGGGAGTCGGGGCTTCGGTCCAGTCGGGAAGTCGGGGAATCAGTCGGGGAGTCGGGGAGTCGGGAGTCGGGGAGTCGGGGAGTCGGGGAGTCGGTCAGCTGAGGTGTCGGGGAGTCGGGGAGTCGGAGAGTCGGTCAGTGTCGGGGAGTCGGGAGTCGGAGAGTCGGGAAGTCGGGAGTCGGGAGTCGGGAGTCGGGGGTCGCCAGTCAGTGGGGGAGTCGGGGAGTCGGGGGGTCGGCCGGTCGGGGAGTCGGCCAGTCGGCCAGTCGGCCAGTCGGCCAGTCGGCCAGTCGTGAGTGAGTTGGGGAGTCGGGGAGTCGGCCAGTCGGGGAGTCGGCCAGTCGAAGAGTCGGGGTCAGGGGAGTCGGGGAGTCGGGGGGGGTCGGCCAGTCTCGGCCAGTCCGGGAGTCGGGGGAGTCGGGGAGACGGCCAGTCGGGGAGTCGGGGAGTCGGTCAGTCAGGAAGTCGGGGGGTCGGTGAGTCGAGGAGTCGGCCAGTCGGGGAGTCGACCAGTCGGTGAGTCGGGGAGTCGGCCAGTCGACCAGTCGGCCAGTCGGATAGCCGGGGAGTCGGGGAATCGGGGGGTCGGCCAGTCGGAGAGTCGGGGAGTCGGGGAGTCGGAGAGTCGGCCAGTCGATGGGGAATCGGCCAGTCGGGGAGTCGGGGGGGTCGGGGAGCTGGGGAGTCGGGCAGTCAGCCAGTCGGGGAATCGGCCAGTCGGGGAGTCGGTCAGTCGGGGAATCGGGGGGTCGGGGAGTCGGCCAGTCGGGGAGTCGGGGAGTCGGGGAGTCGGAGGGAAGTCGGGGAGCCGGGGAGTCGGCCAGTCGGGGAGTCGGCCAGTCGGGGAGTCGAGGAGTCGGCCAATCGGCCAGTCGGGGAGTCGGAGAGTCGGGGAGTCGGGGGGTCGGCGAGTCGGGGAGTCGGCCAGTCGGCTTGTCGGGCAGTCGGGAGTCGGGGAATCGGCCAGTCAGGAGGAGTCGCGGAGTCGGTCAGTCGGGGAGTCTGGGACTCGGGGGGACGCGGAGTCGGGGAGTTGAGGGGTCGGCCAGTTGGGGAGTCGGCCAAGGGGGAGTCGGGAAATCGGCCATTCGGGGAGCCGGGGAGTCGGGGGGTCGGGGAGCTGGGGAGTCGGGCAGTCAGCCAGTCGGGGAGTCGGGATGTCGTGGGTCGGCCAGTCGGGGAATCGGGGGGTCGGGGAGTCGGCCAATCGGGGAGTCGGGGAGTCGGAGGGAAGTCGGGGAGTCGGCCAGTCGGCCAGTCGGGGAGTCGAGGAGACGGCCAATCGGCCAGTCGGGAAGTCGGGGCATCGGCGAGTCGGGGAGTCGGCCAGTCAGGGAGTCGATGGGTCGGGGTGTCGGGGAATCGGGGGGTCGGGGAATCGGGGGGTCGGGGAGTCGGACGGTCAGTCGAAGAGTCATGGAGTTGGGGAGTCGGGGGGTCGGGGAGTCAAGGAGTCGGGGAATCGGGGTTGGGAAGTCGGCCAGTCGGAGAGTCGGGGAGTCGGGGAGTCGTGGAATCGGCCAGTCGGGGAGTCGGGGAGTCGGGGGGTCGGCCAGTCGGCAGTCAGGGAGAGCCTGGGAGTGGGGGAATCGGCCAGTCGGGGAGCCTGCCAGTCGGAGAGATCCTCGTCCTGGTTTCGTCTTAGTTCGGTCTCTCGTGACCCTTACCTGGCCTCGGCACCGTGTAAAAACGACTCGGGGTGACAAACCAGTCCCGGGGAAGTGGTCGAGAGATCGAGGGGTCGTGTCTCGCGACAACCGGGACGCAGGACCTCTGGATCGAGGCCTCCCGAGAGATAAGGGCCCAGTGAGACACACATGTCTCAGCAGAAACTCCAGGATTTCCAATTCTGACAATACTTCATTATATTTTCCTTTAGCGTCCCGTCCCATTTTTTCATGAAAGGCATCGCTGTGTGTGTGTGTGTGTGTGCTTGCTTCCCCTCCTGACGAGTGAGGTCCGAGCAGATTGGGTCGCAGGATCTCGCGCCGCGTCGTTGATGCATCGGTGATGCAGATCGGTGTGGAGCCTTCCAGAATCTCCTCCTCGGCTTCCCCAGAGCTTCGGCGAATTGATTTGCGCGATCGCGGATTTTTTCATCGATCTCAGCCTTGGGATGTTACCGGCCCCCCCGGACAATCAAGAGCGGACCTGGGGCGAGAAGCTACATCTACCCCACAGGAGAAGAGGTCGGGACCATTGTGCGTGTGTGTGGGAGGGGGGGCGGCGATACACGTGTGGGGGTAGTGTAGGGGCGATACATGGGGTGGTGAAGGAAGGTACACCTTCCGTACGCCCCAGGGTCCCTAAATCCAAGTCGACTCTCCTGGGGCCCCCAAAGGGGCACGGCCCCCAAAGGGGCACGCAAGGGACGCGTTTCTTCGCCCCCCGCCCGTCGCCCCCCCCTCCGCCGCCCACGCAGTGCCCAAGACTCCCGCCGCGGGCGTTGTCCGTTTGAGGCAGAGGTCTGCCTGCCCAACAGCAACCGCTGTCGATCATGGACAACATGCGCTGTTGGGAATCGTATCCGTTTTTCCGCACCCACGACGGCGTCGTGAACGCCCTCGCCGCCGCCGCCGACGACGACGACGATGACGACGACGACGACGACGACGACGGCCCTGGGCAGGAGTGCGCCAAGTGCACACCTGCACCGACGCTGGCCACGCCCATCCTGGCTCCAAAGTTCCCCTCACGCCCCCCCTTGGCTCACGGCAGAGGCGGGAGCGACTCGCGGACGGCATGGACCCGTTCACGTTGCGCTTTGTAGATCCAATGCGGGAGGCCGGCTACGCGGGCAGCCACCAGGTGCGGCTGGCCCACTACCTGCTGTACTCGATGGTCGCCGTCAACGTCATGGGAATCCCGGTGAGCTTACTGTCCCACAGGTTCCTTAGTATGCAACCCCTGGGAGGTTGGTTCAGATTCGTCGTTCGTATATCTCTGCTCGAAGCGCTGCCTAATCCAGCACGGTCCCGCTCCATCCAGCTTGATCCCGCGTGACCTCGTTTCTTCCTGCTCGATCTGGCTAGATCCCGCTTAATCTGGCCTTCTCCCGCTGAGTCCCGTTGAATCCCGATGAATTTAGCCAACGTCTTGGCTGAATCCCGGATTTCATCGCGGTCAAAATCTGGTTCACAGGCCTTGCCTCGGGCCTAGTCGCCCTCACTACTTTCTGACGGGGGCCTCCCAGGAGGAGGAGGAGGAGGAGGAGGAGGAGGAGGCGAGGGAGGAGGATGAGGATGAGGATGAGGATGAGGATGAGGATGAGGAGGAGGAGGAGGAGGAGGAGGAGGAGGAGGAGGAGGAGGAGGAGGAGGAGGCGAGAGAGGAGGATGAGGATGAGAATGAGGATGAGGAGGAGGAGGAGGAGGAGGAGGAGGAGGAGGAGGAGGCGAGGAGGAGGATGAGGAGGAGGAGGAGGAGGAGGAGGAGGAGGAGGAGGAGGAGAGAGGGAGGAGAGAGGGCGGAGGAGGAGGAGGAGGAAGAGGAGGATGAGGTGGAGGAGCTGACTCCCACCACAGGTTCTGGGACCACTCCCAGTACCCCACGCGGGAGGCGCAGGAGCTCGGCCAGTGGCAGCTGCTCCTGCTCTCGGTCATGTTCGTGTCCCTGACTTAGTGTTGAGTCGGGCCTGTCCCTCTACAAGAGGAATATTTTCAAATAGTACAACAATAGTATTGGAACGATTTTTGTTTTACTACTTTGGGGTATTGTTTGAGTATTTTTTGACTATCCCTTATGTGTCGTCCAAAATCCGCCTATAGGGGGACACGGCCGACCTGACCTTAGTGGGCCCTGGAAGCGGCAGGGCCGTTTCTCACCGGTGGTCGAAAGAAAGTGCCTCCTGACCATGAAAGCGGTGTTAAAGGCTGCAACGGGAAAAACACGGCAACATAACGGCGCCTGGACGGGAGCCTCGGCTGGAACCCGAAGAAGCAGCGGCGACGGAACCGGCAACACCAACGGCACAGCGGAGCCAGCAACAGGAGCGGCAGACGGAGCCAGTAAACCAAAACAATGGCCAGGCCGTTTCCAGGGCCCGCAATGAGGTCCTTGAGCCTCGCCTGGGGCGCCGGGTACTGCCTCGCCAAGTACAAGCTTGTCGGCACCTTTGGGCTGGAGATCATCGTGGTGTCTACGTGCACCTGTTTCATGGTCGTGATGGTGCTCGTCCCGAAGCACTACATTGATGGGCCTGTTTTCCACCATCACCACCACCATGAGTTGGAGGGGGGAAGGAGGGGAGGACGAGGAGAAGGAGGAGGAGGAGGAGGAGGAGGAGGGGAGGAGGAGGGCAGGGGGGAGGAGGAGGAGGAGGAGGAGGAGGAGGAGGAGGAGGAGGAGGAGGAGGAGGAGGAGGAGGACCCCCTCCCACTCCAACGTATGGTGGTGGTGGTGGTGGTGGTGGAAAACAGGCCCATCATACATCGCGCGAGCGTTCGGCCACAGCGACCCTGAGGCCGTATGGGGTGTGGATCTGGGGCCCACCGACGGCCTCCTCGTGCTGTACGTCGACCTGGTGGTCACCTCGCTGCACCTGCTGCTGCCCATCCGCTGGATTGTCCTTGGGGCAGGAAGTTTCTCCGCCTCCTCCTCTTCTTCTTCCTCCTCCTCCTCCTTCGCCTCCTCCTCCTCCTCCTCCTCCTCCTCCTCCGCCGCCTCCTCATCCTCCGCCGCCGCCGCCGCCGCACCGCAACTCCCATGACGTATCCAGGGGCGCATTCTGGCCAATGCCAGGAGAGTCCGGCCGCGGAGACGAGGGCCCGCCAGGATGAGCAGCGGCGTCGGTCTCTCTCAGGAGGCCACTTGCGAACTTGCCCCACCACCCCGCGAATTTCTGAGGGGGAAAAGGAGGGATGGTATTTCGCTCGGGAGGTCCCGAACGAAGTGAACCCCACCTCCCCCCTCAGAAATCGCGGGGGGGTGGGGCAGGGTTCGCACGTGGCCTCCTATCTCTTCTCCTCCCCGTGAAGGTCCTCCTCCCGCTGGAGGTGGTCGCCGTCGCGGTGGCCAGCCTGCCCCCTCTCGTCCTCGGGAGCGCGGCCCCGGGCATGGTCCCTTTCAACGTCCTGGGCATCGTGGCGCTCACGACCGTCGCGGCCATCGGGAAGCGGGCCTTTGAGCGGCAGGAGCAGCTTGTTGCACCCTCTTGCGGTGGTGGGCGTGGCAGGGGGGGGGGGGAGGAGGGCGGGGGCCAGTCGCGTCGCCAGGATGCGTCAGGATCGCTGCTTCTCGGACGGCGCCAAGGGGGGGGGAGGGGAGCGGTGGCGGGGAAGGTCACGGGCGCTGCCGCGAGTCATGGAGAAACGGGCTCCAGGAGCGCGCGCTGTTCGCAGGGCTGCTGTCGGAGAAGCAGATGCGCTTCCAGGCCGAGTTCCAGCTCTCCCAGGTGGACTTGGGCGTGTACTCGAAGGCGGAGGACCTCGGCCTGCAGTCAACCCGCACAACTGAGAAGGATGAGCGGCTTTCCGGGGTCACCCTCGCATCCTCCCCCTTCGGCCATCCTTTGCCGCGTTCAGACCTCCTACTCTGATACGTCGATTCACGAATTGGCCGTCTTCGGTCCGCGAGAGGGCGCCGCGGCCGTCGTTTTTGCGGGTCCAGGTCCGTCGGTTTCGGTGCCGGGCCGTTTTCACTAAGGGGAGGTCTAATTAAAACAGGGCTAGGATCGGGATAAATCGCTCCAGAGCGTTCCGGAGCGCTCTCAGAGCGTTCCGGAACGCTCTGGAGCGGCCGCGGCGCCCAATACATCCCCCTCTAGCCCGCCGATTCTCAGAGATTTCGAGTCATCCCGATCCGATTTTGTCCCGATCTTCGCGTCGTTTTGTCTACTAAAGGGAGGTTTGTCCACCGCCGATGTCCAAGGCCCGTGCGCATCCTCACCGTGCGTCCTCCTCGTGCGGGTGGCCCGCCTGCTCGCGCTGCGGATGGCGTCGTGTGGGGGGCGGGGGGGGGGCGACGGGCGCCTCGGGAGGGCCCGCCGGCCCACCGCGTGTGGGGCGCAGGGCCGAGCAGGCCAGGCCCGATGTCTGTCCGTGGGAGCCTCGGACGGCGACTCCGAGAGCAGCTTTTGTCCTCCACTCGCACCGCACTCAGGCCGCATCTCCTCGCCCCTCAGGTTCCTGCTTCCCCTCCTCGTGCTGCTCGCCTCCCCTCCTCGTGCCAGGGGTGAGTCCGGCCCAGATCCGGTCCCAGACGTGTCCCACATGCGGTCTAAGAGTCAGGCCCGCAGCGGTCTAAGTCAGGCCCCTGGTCGGGCAGCGCCTGGGGCCACGCACAGTCTCCGATGGAAGGGGCACCGAAGCCAGGCCCCGTGTATGGAGCGGGTGCGGGGATGGGGTCGGGATCGGCCGTCGCTCTGCTCTGGGAAGGGTCCTGGTGGCCGTAAAGGGGGGATGCAGGGCGGACTGGCGAGCGGGTGGGCGAAGGGCGCTCGGAGCGGGAACGGGACGGGGGGGAGGATAGAAAGCTTAAGTCGGTCATGTCCCTGTACAGGAGGAATCTTCCAGAGAAATTCGTGGGAGATAGTCTGGGGGCGATTTGTCGTGCTCTTTCGACTGCCTCTCATCATTCGATCTCACTGCTTTTTATTTGTCATCCAAGATCCGCCTGTAGGGGGGGGGCATGCCCGACCCAACAGAAGGCAGGGGGGCGCAGTGCCGATCGAGACCCAAGGGGGCCGTGGTGCACCAGGGGAAGGCGAAGGGCCAGGCGAGCGTGGGCGAAGAGGAGCGGCAGAGGCGAGGCGTTGGACCGGGGTGTGGGTGGCGGAGGGAGGGAGACCGGATCCAGATACTTTTTTGATCTGCGGCTCCAAAGGACGATTCCAGAGAGCGGGTCGTATCGAGCACGGGGCAGCACGCCAGATAATTGCCAGCGGGCCAAAGCCAACGCCGGAGGGCACCTGTGCCAGAGAGGGCGTAGCAAGCTTGGGGGGCCAAGCGAGATCATTACCGGCGGGCCAAAAACAACGCTGACCAGATCCAGATACACAGGATCCCGCAATTGCGGTGAAGAGTGCGCGGCGGGCACGTCGGCAGTCTGCCAGGCTCTGGAGAAGCCCGCCGCAGGCGCCGAGCTGCTACAAACGATACAAGGAGCCCGCCGCAGGCGCTGATTCTTTGGTAAGACAATGCTGGTGGGTCGTGGGGTGGGCCGCGGGTGGGTCGCGGGCCGGGTCGCGGACTCACTCAGTTCCCTGAACGTAGAGAAGTGGTAGGGCCGAGAGGGCCCCAAGAGAGCCCCCGGCGGGCCCGAGAGGTCCCCAAGAGGGCCCAAAGACGGACCCAGACGGCCGCAAGATGACCTCAAGAAGGCTCAAGGCGGTTGCCAAGACGGTCTGAAGAGAGGGCGTTTGGAGGACACACAAATGTGCTGAACTCACATGTTTTTTGGATACGTCCTGGCCTGTCCACCATCCTGGCTGAAGACTCAAAGAGGCCCCTTCGAGAACCCGAGAGAATTCAAGAGAACCTCTCGAGAGCCCCATGAGGGCCCCCAGACCGGCCAGGACGCCCCAATACTGCTCCAAGACCAGTCGCGTGGGTCTTCTTATGGACTCTACATGACCCAAGCCCCAAAGCTGCCCGAGACATCTTCCGAAACGTCTCCAAACGGCTTCGGCGACCCAAGGCGGTAAGCGAGACACCCCATGACGCTTTGATTAGTACGAGGACGGTCAGACAACCTCCATGCACAACTAGATCACACATGTGTATCGGAGGTTTGGGGGTGAGATCGCAGTGGAACGGAGAGCCCCCCAGCGGGAAATCGGTTTCGGTTTCGTGTGCGTGTCGCGCGTGCGGGCGACGCGAGGCAGCGTGGGCGCGCGAGAGGAATGATGCCACGGTGCCTAGAGGCTGTGGAACCGGTTGTCCCCCCCCCCCCCCTCCCAGGCGCGCGGTGGCCCAGGGTGTCCCGTCGGTGGCTCGGGGGTGCCCCGTCGGTGGCGCGGGGTGCCCCGTCGGTGGCGCGCGGGATGTGCCCAGGGTGCCCCGTCGGTGGCGCGGGGGTGCCCCGTCGGTGGCGCGCGGGATGTGCCCAGGGTGCCCCGTCGGTGGCGCGGGGGTGCCCCGTCGGTGGCGCGGGGTGCCCCGTCGATGGCGCGGGATGCACCGACGGTGGCTCAGGGTGTCCCGCCGTGGTGTCTCGCTGGTAACTCTTGAGATAAGTTGTGAGATCGATAGAGATATCGGTGATACCGGAGAGAAACCCAATTCAGAATCTTCAGGGCTATAGGGCTATAAGGCCAGGGGGCTATGAGGCCACAGTGCTATTGGGCTATAGGTTCTATGGGGCTAAAGTGCTAAAAGGCTATTATGGCTGTTAGGGCTATAGTGCTATGGGGCTATAGGGCTATTAGGGCTACAGGGCTGTAGGGCTATAGAGGTATAGGGCTATATGGCTATAAGGTGCTAGGGCTGTAAGGCTATAGGGCTATAAGGCTGTAAGGCTATAGGGCTATAGGGCTATAGTGCACCTGGTCACCCGGGCACCCGGGCATCCGGGGATGTGCCGCCGAATTCGGCGGCGCACCTAGGCTAATCATAAGAATCCGCTAAGACCCCGACAGAGGCAAGCTCTGGAGTAAATAGTGAGATCGAGTGCGTGATCGATCGTGACATCGACGGATCGATAGTGAGATCGATCGTGATATAGATCACCACATAAATTTTGCCAGGGGTGCCCCGCCGTGTTTGGGAGTGCCCCATCGTGGTTCCCGGTGGTGTCTCGCAAGATCAGTTGAGAGATCGATCGTGGAATCGAAAGTGAGATCGATTGTGACATCGATCGTGAGATCGATCATGTACTCGAACTAGTTCTATGGGCAGGCCATGGTACATTCTCACTACCAGCGTCATCGTGCATCGCCGCCGTCTCGCGAGCGCAACGCCAGCATCGTCGCCAGCAAAGTCATAGCAGTTATCGTCAGTGGGTTGTTTCTCCCTCCCAACCTCCTTATCACCCGAAGGGTGGTCGTATAGGTATATCCGTATACACATGGACAACTGAATGATGTGACCGTCGCCGTACTTATCAAGGGTTGCGAGTGGGCCCATCTTGGATTGTTGTACCTTCCTGTTCTCGCGCAGTCTTTTGGGCCTGTCACACCGTCTAAGGGTAACTAATTGTCGCTTGTCTGGGAGCCCTCAGGGCCGTCTCGGGAGTCCTTTCGGCCTGTTTTCGGAAGCTCTGGGGACCCCGTTGGGCTGTCTCGGGCCTCTCTTGTGCTGTCTGGGGCTCCTCGGGGCGTCTTGGGGCCATCTTGGGCTATCTTGGGCGCTTGTACGGCCGTCCTGGGCCATTCGAAGGCCCTCTGAGATGCCTTTGGAGCCTTCTTGGGGGTGTCTTCGGGGCTTCGTGCCCCGTCTTGGGCCCTCTGGAGGCCGGAAAGGCGAGCATGCTCAAATCGTGCGAAAACGTACTGGAAACGAATTATGTTAGCCTCTCGTGCCTCCGGCGTCATCTTGGGGTCATCGAGAGCCATCCTCGGGCGGCCGCGGATGAGCCTCCCCGTCTGTGGGCAGTTTTCCATACATAGTCGTATTGGTTTCCATACATAGTTCGTATTGTTGTATACATTCACGTGTTGTGATCTGCGTATGCATTTGTATACATACGTACATACATACCTACCTACATACATGCATACATACACATGTATGTATGTGTATATCTCTGTCTGTCTGTCTGTCTGTCTGTCTGTCTGTCTGTCTGTCTGTATGTATGTGTATATATCTGTCTGCCTGTCTGTCTGTCTGTCTGTCTGTCTGTATGTATGTATGTATACATGTATGGATGTATGTATGTATGTATGTATGTATGCATGTATGTGTGTATGTGTGTATGAATGCATGCATGCATGCATGCATGTATGCATGCATGTATGCCTGTATGCATGTATGCATGTATGCATGTGTGCATGTATGCATGCATGTATGTATGTGTCTATGTATCCATGTATGCATGTATGTCTGTCTGTCTGTCTGTCTGTCTGTCTGTCTGTCTGTCTATATGTCTTTCTGTCTGTCTGTCTGTCTGTCTGTCGGTATGTATGTATGTATGTACGTATGTATGTATGTATGTGTGTATGTATGTATGTATGCATGCATGCATGTATGTATCTATGTATGTATGTAGGTATGTGTGTGGGTATGTATGCATGTATGTATGTATGTAGGTATATAGGTATGTATGTATGTCTGTCTGTCTGTCTGTCTGTCTGTATGTATGCATGTATGTCTGTGTGTGTATGTATGTATGCATGCATGCCTGCCTGCCTGCCTGCCTGCATGGATGTATGTGTGTGTATGTATGTATGTATGTATGTATGTATGTATGTATGTATGTATGTATGTGTGTGTATGTATGTATGTATGTATGTATGTGTATGGATGTATGTATATATATATATATATATGTATGTATGTATGTATGTATGTATGTATGTATGTATGTGTGTATGTATGTGGTTATGTATATATGTCTGTCTGGATGTCTGTATGTCTGTATGTATGTATGCATGTATTCATTTATGGTGGGGGGATGCGGCCGAAGGGGAACGGAGCGCCGATCCCACCAGGAACTCGATTTCGATGTCGTTGCGTGTCGGGCGTGGCTCGCGTGCGGGCGAGGCGAAGTTGCACGACGGCACGAGAGATGGTAAGGGATGGTTCACATCAAATTACATCGCCCCCGTGTTCGCGCCAGGGCTCCTGGGGTTGTCTTGAGGTTGTCCTGTGAGTGATGCGTGGGTTCTCCCGTGAGTCTCGAGCGGTTGTTCCGATGGTCATCCCGATGGTTGTCCCGTGGATGTTCCGTAGTTGTCGCGTGGTTGTCCAGTGGATATCCCGTGGTTATCTTGTTGTTTCGTGGTTGTTCCGTGGCTGTCCCATTGTTGCCCCGTGGTTGTCCAGTGGTTGTCCCACTGCTGCTAGCGATCGAGACAATAGTGAGAGCAATTGACTGGTAGTGAGACCGACAGATAGAGTCATAGCGTTGTCCACAGGCATACAGTGTGACCGATAGCTGGGCAGCGAGGCCGATCGATGAACCGATAGATCCGCCGATCGGCAGATCTAACTACAGTCGCGACGCTGAAATAAGGACCGCGTGGTGTTCAAGAGGGGCTCGAATTTTCGAGCCGTTGCTTAGATTCGTGGAACCTGTTTGTGGCCTAGGCCTGCAGGGGCCGTTGAAGCCCCCTCGTTGTTTGTTTTGCGTTCTTTACGGTAGCGCGATGACTGTGCATCCGCCGATCGACAGATCGAAGTAGGCCTGGCCCCCTCAGAGGCCCCAGCCTCCGCTCCAGACCGTCGCGGCGTGCGCCTGGCGGAGTTCTGCCCCTGGGCATGCAGGCTTCAGTACTGCCTCTCTCCGCCAGGGCTTTGACAGCGCACTTCCAGACGATGTTGGCTTGGGCTTCGATGGCGTAGGATCCCGCCGACACGAAGGAGAACGATCCGCCTCCCCCGCGCGATCGGCTGCCGGCCCCGCTGGACGACGGCGACGACGACGGCAGAACAACGGCCGCCCGCCGGCGAGGGCGATTCCTCTCCTCCTCCTCCTCCTCCTCCTCCTCCTCCTCCTCCTTCTCCTGCTCCTCCTCCTCCTCCTCCTATCCTCCTCCTCCTCCTCCTCCTCCTCCTCCTCCTTCTCCTCCTCATATCCTCCTCATATTCTCCTCCTCCTCCTCCTGCGGCGGCGGCGCGAGGACCTCAGCTCCGAGCACTCCACCGGGGTGTCCTACCCGAAGACGACGGCCAGCGCCGCCGCCTTCGACGGCGGAGCCGGGCACGACGCGCTGGACGAGATCCGCGCCATCGGCCTGCGGGAGCAGTGGTCCCTGGGGGGGGGTCTCCAACCGAGGCCTCTCCTCCCCCTCCTCCTCCGCCTCATCCTCCTCCTGTCCTCCTCCTCCTCCTCCTCCTCCTCCTCCTCCTCTCCTCCTCCTCTCACTCCTCCGTGGCTCTAGCCGCCGTGGCTCGAGGGGAGTCTGTTCACAGCGGGTCACAGATCACAGGCGATCGATCACAGCACTCTGCACACTCGCCTCTTCTCCTCCTCCTGCTCCTGCTTCTCTTCCTCCTCCTCCTCCTCCTTCCCCTCCTCCGCCCCCCGCAGCACTGCTTCAAGCACTGTGACACAGCGGCAGCGGCCTCAGAGGCCCTGCCGTCGACCTCTTGCAGAGCCACGGGCGCCTCCCCCTCCCTCCAGGCCGTGGACGACGCGACGCTGCTGACGTCTAGAGGAGGAGGAGGAGGAGGAGGAGGAGGAGGAGGAGGAGGAGGAGGAGGAGGAGGAGGAGGAGGGCCTTTCTCTCCACGAGGTCCCTTTACCCCAACTGCTCCTTGCCTGTCCTACCTGCTCGTGATGACTCGGGTGCCTGGTCCTGTGGTCGTGGGCCTCGTGCTGAGCAGTGGGTGGTCACTGGGCAGGTGTTCACGGACGGGTCGTGCCGAAGGCTCCTCTGCTGGGTCGTCGCGGCGAGAGCGGGCTGGGGCCTCGTCGTTGTGGGGGACAGCAGCTGCCGTGGTGCCGTGTTCGGCCCTCTGCCTGGGCCTGGCCAAGCATCGGCCAGAGCGGAGCTGTACGCCATCCTGCAGGTGCGGAGCTGTGGTTCCGCTCGACATCTGCATTGACGACCTCCCTCTCATTGACGGCCTCGCTCGAGGCAAGCAGGGGTGCACGGCGGCCGCTCGCGACAGCGTCGACCTGTGGAGACGGCTGTGGCGCTACTTTGAGAAGCGCGGCGGCAAGGTGGCTGCAGCTGACGATGCGCCTCCGCCCCTATCCTTTACGCACCTGCGGGGCCACCAGCGCGGCGACACTAGGCAGCGCAGGTGCGACGACCCTGCGGACCAGGCGGCCGAGCGCGGGCGCAGGCCCCACGACTTGCCGAGCCGCGCGGTGCAGCACCACGGCCGAGCGCTGGACAGAGTGCGCCGGACTGCCGCATGGATTAGGGGGCCACATGCGAACCCTACCCCTACCCCCCACGATTTCTGAGCTGGAGGGTGGGGTGCACGTCGCTCGGGAGCTCCCGATCGAAGTGAACCCCACCCTCCTCCTCAATAATCGTGGGGGGTAGGAGTAGGGTTCGCATGTGGCCCCCTATGGATCGCCAACGCTTCCAGGCTGCAGTGGGCGGGCGCTGTCGCCGCCGACAGGGCTGAGGTTGCGAGGCGCCGCCCCGCGTGGCTCCGCAGGAGGTGGCGGGTGCAACACGGGCGTCCAGCGGCTGAGACGCGGCCGCCTGCCGACACCGTTGGGACTGGGCCCGACGGCCCCCGTGCGCGCCCGGACGCCCTTCCCGCACAGCCTCCGTCTTCGGGGAAAATGTCGGCGGCAGTGTGATAGGTGCACTGCCTTCGCCTCCTCCAGGCGCGGGGCGCGAAGGCTTCGTTTCATCAGCTGTCCTGTGGCCGAGGCGGCGGCCCTGCGGGCCCAAGGTTTTTTCGCCGCGGGGCGTGGTCTGCGAGGAGGCCCGACGGTGGGCACACGCCGCCTGGCGGAGCCTCGACCCCTCCCCTGTCTGCGGGTGGCGGCCCCTCCGAGGCCGAGGTCTGGGGTTCTCAGGAGCCCGAGCCGGAAGCGGAGCTGCCGTCCTCGGTGTTCGCGGGCCTTGAGCGGCTCCCGGCGATCAAACGGGTGCGGTTTCGCAGCGAGGCCGAGCGGAGAGAGCTCGACCTCGCGGACGTGTGTTGGCCAACGGCTCAGGCCGCACGGGTACACGGCTCCGTGAAGCCCTAGCGTGCTTCGCCCCCTCCGAGCAAGGCACGGGCCAGGAGTGAGGGGGAGTGTCGGGTCGACGGCAGGTGGGGCCTCTGGGGGCCCGCGCTTGAAGGCGCCGCGGGTGGACGCCCATGCCGCCCCGCCCAGGCCCGCCAAGAGGCCTGGGAACCCCAGGGGGGGGGGGGGGGACGCCCTAAGAGGCACATTGCCTTGCAGGCCAGCGGCAGGGGGGTCCTGGGTCGCTCAGGAAGCCGTCCCTCCCGACCTCCCCCTTCCCGCTCACGGCACCGTCGGGCCTGGCAGTGCCCGGGGTCACTCCATAGTCCTCGCTGGGCCTACGCTTGCATTCTGCCGCCGCTGCGGGGCCAGGGCCCAGCCGTCGGCCCCCCATTCCCGTTTGTGGGGTGAATGCTCGGGTCTTGCATCCAGCTGCATCCAGTGAGGATTCTACATATTTGAGGGCCCTCGAGTTAGGTAAGGGCCCTATTTCGGGGGAGTGAGGGCGCGATCCCCGCCTTCTCCGAGCTTCTGGTGACGCTTGCGTTTGGCTTCGTCGTCGGTAATTCGCCTGGCGTTTTGCTTCGTGTTTAGCCTTTCTCTCTTCTTGGGTTCGTGCTGCGCTCGCCCGCCTCGCCCTAATTGTCTGTTCCCGCAGTATTTCCCACGTTCGGCGCACCTGACATGCAACGGTATTGACTCCTCCTCCTCCTCCTCCTCCTCCTCCTTCTCGTCCTTCTCCTCCTCCTCCTCCCAAGCGACCCTCTCCTTTATCCTGACGGGGTGCTATGGACTTGTGGAAAGCTCCACCTGGAGCTGTTGGGCTTTACTAGGGGTCCCACATGCAGCTTACTGGCTCTGCAGAGGGCTCAGCCTGGATCCTCCTTGGAACGAACATGTATGGGTGCCCAGACTTCCGACGACCCGATCGTTCCGAATATTGTTGCCCATGTTTGTCAGATCGATGTGTTCTCCGTCGGCCTAAGTTGCTTATTTTGCTTTCCCGGGACACCTCGCGCAGGAACACACCCGCCTCCTCCTCGTCCTCGTCACACCATCATCACCACCCATCGTCATTATTATCACCAGCACCGCCATGCAACTCACACACAATCACACACCGGAGCTGCTACGCATTCCCACACCCACACACTCATGCTCTCATACTGAGGAAGTCTCGAGCGGGATTTTCGTCTGTGGGTCTGTTGCGAGGAAGTCTTAGGTTGGAGCTCCTCCATCCGGGGTCCACAACTCATTTTAGCAATCCGAGGCGGTCATGTAAAACACCTGCAAACAAAAACGCATGGCTTGGTGATCATCGGGCCGCCAGATTTCCGTTCTCCGTGCTGATTTCAAGTGTCTGGAGACAATTGTAGGCCATGCCATTTTGTTGGGGTTTCCAGAACTCCAGAGCCAGGTTTCAGGTTTCATGCCCCGAGCCACCTGTAAGTATGTCGCGCTCCCAGAACTCCACTCCAGGGTCTGGTCTCTGCACGTCAGGAAGCAGCTGTGAAACACTTCGGGATGTTCTGCTCCCAGAATTCACTCCTGGAGCTGATCCTGAATCCCAGAGCCAACTGTAGGCCATTTCGGGCTCTTCGTGCTCCTAGGATTGCATTTCTTGGATTGATTTTGCGTTCGCGTCTTGGCACTTTCTGCATCTTGGCACCTTCGCGTCCTGGCGTCCACTGGCAACGCTGATGCCCCTGGGATCCCGACAGACCTGGCAGCAGGGGCATCCAGGCACAGGCCCCGCAGGTCTGACTGCGGGGCTGGACCTAAACGGTCTTTTGCTGGACTTCGGCCGTGTTCTGTTGTTCGTTCTGGGAGGGAGGTACAGGAAAACAGGTAGAGCAAAACGAACAACAAAACGAACACCAAACGAGAAACAATGTTTAGGTCCAGCCCTGTTTGATTGAGTTCACAAGTCATGGGGATCGCGCCCTCAGTCAACGCACTCACGCATCCACACACACACACACTCCGGCACCAGCACCTGTGAGCTGAGGCGTTTGACGAGGATCTTGCCTCCGAGGATCGAGGGGGTGCCCACCTCTCCGCGGCGGAAAGGGCGGCGGAGGGTCGGCGGAAGCAGAGCGAGGCCCCCTCCGCCGGCTCCCGCTGGCGGAAGGGCGGCGGAGAGTGGCGGAAGCAAAACGTGTGCCCCTAAGAGATGACAATCTGTTCTTGCTTGGACGGTCGGTCCCGGCTCAGTTATCGGGCCCGCACGTCACGTCGCTAATTCGAGGCGGCCAGCGGCCGTGCAAGAACTGGTAACAGAACGCAGGGTTTCGCGATCATAGCGCCGCCGAACTTCAATCCCCAGTACCTTGGCATTGCTCGGGCGTGTGTGATTCTTCTCGGCGAAGACCATCGAGGAGCATGTTGGAGCATCTTGCGAGAAAACGGGCAAAACACACACGCACGAAGTCGACACATGCACGGAGAATGCACGTCCGAGCGATGGCGAGAGTGCTGATCACAATTGTCTGGAGCCAACTCTAGGCCACTTCGTGCTCTTCGAGTTCCCACAGCTCCGCTCCCAGGACTAATTTGGAACGTCTGGTGCCAACTTCCAGTCTTTGTCGGGCTCTTCGAACTCCCAGCGCTCTAATCCTGGGGCTGGTTTTGCAAGTTCGTAGCTAACTGTCGGCCACTTCGTGTTTTTCATGCCACCAGAAAACCATTCCTGGTACTGATTCGCGGTGTCCAGAACAGAGCTTGTGGGCTTCCTCGGGCTTTCTCCCAGAACTGCTGCCCTCCTGGGATTGATTCTGCGTTCGCGTCGTGTGTCTTCGCGTCCTGGCCCTGGCGTCACTGGCACCTCTGGTTCCCTTGGCACCCTGACAGCCATGGCATCCGGGCAGAGGCCGCGTAGCTCAGGCAGAGTCTCACAGGTCATGGGAATCATGTTCCCGCTCACACGCCTATGTACGCATTCACCCACGCGCTCCCGTACCTACGCACAAGGTCATATTCACAGGCACACACACACACGCCCACGTCTGTGAATCAGTTGCGAGGAGGTCGTGAGCGGGAGCCCCCTCCCATTAGGGCCCGCGCATCATGCTACGAATCCGCAGTCGCCACGGGAATATTTGTATATATATATATACACATATACACATATGCGTGTGTGTCTTGTAGACAGGTTTGGTGACACCTGCGAGCTGGGACCTGGTAGACGTCTCGAGCAGGAGCCCCGTTCCCGGGCTTCCTCTGAGGTTGTCCCGAGCGCTTGCCCGTGAGCGTGTCTGCGAGGGAGCTTCGGGCGGGAGCCCCCTGCCCATGGGACCCCCGCTCCACGTCACGAACCCGAGGCGGCCATCGGCGTCCCCTCTGTCAAAGCACAGCGTGGGTGACACATGAGCACTCGGACCCCGAGAAGGTCTGGAGCGGAAGTCTCGCTCCTGAGCAGTGTAGTTAGGATATCTCCTGCGGGGGCCTCCTTTGTGAGCAGGTTGCGGGGAATGCTCGAGCGGGCGCGCTCGGAGTGCTTCCGAAGGCAGCAGGACGCCCAAGGAGATTGCAGGACTTTGCAGGGACCTTCAATAGGCCCCAGGAGGCACAAGGAAGCCACATGAGCCCCCGGAGCCATCAAGAAGCCCCAGGAGGCCCCGGGAGTTGCCCGGCAGGCATCACGAGGCCCCTGGAGGTCTCAGGAGGTTCAAGGATGATCCAGGAGACAACTGGAAACCCCAGGAGGAGCAGGCTCTGGGAGGAGGAGAATGAGGAGGAGGAGGAGGAGGAGGAGGAGGAGAAGGATGAGGCGGAGGGTCAGAGTACACCCATGCTGTATCAACGGTAATGCCTGAAACCTTCCCTCCAGGCTTCCTGGTCATAGGTCCCGAAGAGAATTTACATGCATTGCGGGATGTAGCCCATTAGAAGACAACACTTGGATAATATCCCATCCTGCTGAAAAACCCTTCCTGCGAAGTCAACGTCGCGCATCAACATAACTTCTGCGTCCTGAAAGTGCCCGACCTTGCCAGAGCACCATTCCTGGGATTCCAGCAACACCGCGAGCTAGTGTGACTGATGGGTCATCATAAGCCTAAAGCATGCTAGAACACCTCTCCTGGGACTTCGACCATGCGAGTCGTTGAACTGTTGCCAACCTGCGGCGCTGCGGAGAGAGCCGCACTTCGGATGGAGCCGCCCTCCATCCGTGAAGCTGGCGCAAGCGATCAACACGAATATGCGCGGCGCTGGGGCGAGAACTACATTGTGAAAGCAAGCCGCCCTCCATGAAGAGGTTGCGGAAGTTTAACACAAGCATGTGCGGCGCGAAGGCGACGGCCACATGTTGAAGAAGGCCCGCCCTCTATATCCGCGAAGCTGCTGCCGCCGTTCAAGAAGACGAGTGTGCGCCGCGCGGAGGCGAGAGCGCCCTTGTAAAAAAGCACCCGCCCCTCCCTCCGTGAAATTGCTGCGACCAATGTGCGTGGCATTATGGCGAGAGCAGCATTCTGACGACGGCCCGCCCGCAGTGCGTGAACCTGTTGCAGATTTCAAGCTCCTCGGCGAAATGACGGAAGTCTCTGGCGCAACCGAAGATCCGGCCCGCTTGACCGACGCCTGTGGGGGTGCGACTTGGATGAGTTATTTATCGGGACAGGGATGGAGGAGGAGGAGGAGGAGGAGGAGGAGGAGGAGGAGGAGGAGGAGAGGAAGAGGAGGAGGAAGAGGAGGAGAGGAGGGCGAAGGGGAGGAGATAGAGAAGGTGGCTGGACGAGTATCAGAGGGAGGAGGGTGCAGGATGATCATGATGATGCTGATGATGATGCTGATGATGATGATGATGATGATGATGATGATGATGATGATGACGATGATGATGAGGAGGAGGAGGATCAGGAGGAGGAGGAGGAGAAGGAGGAGGAGGAGGAGAAGGAGGAGGAGGGGGAAGAAGAGGAGAAGGAGGTGGACGAGGAGACAGGAGGAGGATGAGGATGAGGAGGAGGAGGAGGAGGCAGCATGATGAGGATCAGGGTGGAGGTAGGAGGAGGAGGAGGCAGGATGAGGTGGCAGGAGGGGGATGAGGAGAAGGAAGCGGGAGAAGGCAAAAGGAGGCAAGGGAAAGGAGAAGGAGGAGGCAAGAGGCAGGAGTTGGAGGTGGAGGATGAGGCAGGAGGATGAGGCAGGAGGAGGAGCAAGCAGGAGTCATGAGGACAAGGATGAGGCGAGAAGAACAGGAGGGGGAGGTATCAGGAGGGAGCAGGAGGAGATTCCCAGATCAGTTAAAAACATTGTCATGCTGGGTCCTGCCGTCGGAGTAATGAAAAGGCCCTGGAAGCCAGATGCGTCGCCCACACGCTAGGGAGTCTGAGTCGTCGTGGCCCTCCTAGGCTTTGTCACGAACCTCCAACCAGCGGGCCCGCTGCCAAGGCTCATCAACAGTGGCGAAGTGCAGCTCCTGCCTGGCAAGGTACTCGGCGAGGGGGGCTTCGGCATCGTCGTGCCTGGACTGTACCACGGCACCGTGGTGGCGGTCAAGGCAGCGAAGCAGGACGTCGCAGGGAAGGGCGTCCCCGGTCTCCCCCCCTCCCCTTCTGACGACCATCCTATCCTTTCGCAGTCCAGCGCAGCCATCGCGACGAGCACTCATCCAGAGATGCCGCGCTGTCGAGTGAGGCCCATTGACCACGCTGGTGAAGCAAACCAAATTGCGTTTGGCATTGCGTGGGGTTGTGCGCAGAGCCCCCCCGAGGTAGTCCAGGGCGGTCTCAACACCCCGGTTCCTTGGCACGGGGTGTTGAGGCCGTGCTTGGGCCCTCTTCCCCGCATCCACGGGCGGTGCCTCTGGTGTCGCCAACAGCGCGTCCCGCACGCCTGGGAAAGCTTGGCGTTCGGAGGGGCCAGCGCCGACCCAACAGATCTGCGCGGACGTCATGGACTGGCGGCGAACGAGGGGGGGAAGCGAGAAGGGGAGGGCCCTCTCAGAAGGCTCGGACGTCCCCTGGCCTTCCGAGAAGTTTCCTGAGACCCCTGGAAGACACAAGACGCCTCTCAGAACGCGTGAGGGTTTCTGGGAAGTCCAGCCGCCTCCTGAGAAGGCCTTCACCCTCTCACTTCCCCCCCCCCTCGTTCGCCGCCGACCCGAGCGCCGGCTCCTGCCGCCAGCTTGCCAGACATCCGCCGACGTGCTTCTTTTTGTCCGAGGCGGCGAGGCCTCGGCGGTCCTGGCCTGCCTCCCGAGGCCCAGTGGTGGCCCTCGCCCCTGGGGCCCGAGCACGGTCTCCCGAGGAGCACCGCCCCGTGCCCAGGAGGAAGTGCGGCACCTCGTCGGAGTCGGGCGGGCGGGAACGGTTTGGCGGCGCGCACAAGGGGGTGGGGGGAGGGGGGAGGGCTTCTCGGAAGCAGGGGTGCTTCTAAGAAGCCCTCCCCCTCCCCCCATCCCCTTGTGCGCGCCGCCAAAACGAGGGGGGGGGGGGGGGCGGTCCTACATCGGAGGTGCAGAAAACGGCCCCTAAGGGGCCATTTCGGGCCTCTTCTGGAGCCAGCAGGGGCTCCAAAGGGCCCCAGTCAGGGCCCTCTTCGGCCAGCCCCCCTTGCCACCCGCCCGACGGAGATCTGGGTCGCCCTTTCAGGCAGTCGCGGGGAATGGCGTCCTCAGCTCCTGCCTGCCCCAGCTCTGCAACGAGCTGCGGATCCTTCGCCGCATCCGCCACCCCAACGTCGCGATCCTGTACTCTGGGCATCGCTCGGATGAGTGCGGACTTTCTTCGGCGAGGACCCTCGAGGAGCATCTTGGACCACCCGGCGGAAGATAAACGCGCGAAGCCGAAACACGCGCGAGGAACATGATCGTTTTCGTATTCCTTGTTTTGCAAAGCGGCGCGGGCACCTGCACCCCTCCCTCCTCCCCCGTGGAGTAGATCTTGGCTGTCTTGGGCGCCTGCTTCGAGGAGGCGGGGCCCCTCCCAAACAGTCGCATGAAGCAGAGGTCCGGAGCCAGACCCCCCCTCTCCTCCCCCCTTCCGCCCAATGTCGAAACGCCGAATATCGAAGAAGGGAAAACGCCCTAAACATACACGTTTGGCGCTCCGCTCGGATTTCTTGGATCCACGCTGCCCCCCCTCCGTTGGCGCCTCCGGCGCCGCCCCTGGCGCGCTCCGCGCGCCAGGGAGGGGAGTGCAGCGCAGACCCAAGAAATCCTCGCGGAGGGCCAACGGTTAATGCTTATGGCTTTTTTCTTCTTCTTCTGGGATTGAGAGAACGTTCACCGAGCGATGGCGAGGTACGGCGCGTGCATGGACGCCGCCCTCGGCAGGCTCTGCCTGGTGCTCGAGCTCGTGGACGGCGTTCCCCTCGGCGAGTTCCTGCGCGGCCCGCCCCGGGACGGCGAGGGGCCCTCGGAGCTGCGCCCCAGGACGTTCCCCGGAGGCGGCGGGGGGCTTGCCCGGAGCCCCGACGAGGTGGCTGTTGCAATCTGGGCGCGTTCCTCCTCCTCCTCCTCCCCCCTCCTCCTCCTCCCCTCCTCCTCCTCCTCCCCCTCCTCCTCCTCCTCCTCTCCTCCTCCTCCTCCTCCTCCTCCTTCCTCCTCCTCCTCCTCCTCCTCTCCTCCTCCTCCTCCTCCTCCCTCCTCCTCCTCCTCCTCTCCTTTCCCCCATACTCATCCTCTCCTCCTCCTCCTCCTCCTCCTCCTCCTCCTCCTCCTCCTCCTTTTCCTCCTTGTGTGTTTTTCCAATGCGCAACGGATGCGCCCCGCATTTTGCTTGCCCTCTGGCTGGGCCCATCTCGTCGCGGGCCAGGAAGTTGTTGCTCGATTCCGGGCCCTGGGCCGCTTCTGGGCCCCGGGGCCATGAGCACGGATCCAGGAGAGAGGCATGGCTGAAGGGAAGGGGTCGGGAGAGACAACGGCCTCCGCATAAACTCTCGGAGGTCCGCGCGGAGTCCCTTGGATCGGCGCTGGGCCCCCTGGCGGCGCCTCTGGCGCGCCAGGGAGCAGGACCACCGCCAGTCCAAGGAAGTCCGCGCGGAGCTCCAGGAGCTCATGCGTATTTTGTGCTTCGTCCGGAGGGTTCCGAATGGGGTTTTTGGGGAGGGGGTTTTCCAGGAGGGGTCCCCCAGGGGCTTCGCACTTCGCACCCCTGCCCCCCACGATCTTTGAGGGGGAGGGTGGGGTTCGCTTCGCTGGTGAGCTCCCGAACGAAGCGAACCCCACCCTCCCACTCAGAAATCGTGGGGGGTAGGGGTAGGGTTCGCATGTGGCCCCCTACCTTTGGAACCGTCGGATAGTTCATCCCAGTGGGGGGGCAGTCGGATACTTAACCCCAGTGCCCCAAAAACTGTCTAAATGAGCTGGGGGGGTGAGATGGTGGGGGTCTGCATGGGATGGGGATGGGGATGGGATGGGGATGGAGAGGGGGGAGGAGGGAGGAGGAGAAGGAGGAGGAGGAGGAGGAGGAGGGGTTCGTGCTTCCGAGGACTCACGATGCGGGGGGCGTGGCCAGTCTTCCCGCGCGCTCCCGGCTCGTCCTCGACCTCCTGAACGTGCTGCGCTACCTGCACTCGAGACGGTCGCTCCCACCACCCCCACCCCCCCCCCCTCTCCTCCTCCTCCTCTCCTCCTCCCCCCTCCTCCTCCTCCTCCTCCTCCTCCTCCTCCTCCTCCTCCTCCTCCTCCTCCTCCTCCTCCTCCCCCCCTCCTCTCCTCCTCGCCCTCCTCCTCCTCTCCCCCTCCTGCTGCTTCTCCTCCTCCTCCTCCTCCTCCTCCTCCTCCGTCTCCTCCTCCTCCTCCTCCTCCGTAGCCGTAGCCATTTGGGCGCAAGATGTCTCAAGTGGGGGCTTCCAGCCCAAAGGCAAGCACGGAGGCTCCTAGTCGTGGCCGTTGTCCGAGCGTGGCCGACGGCGCAGGCGTCACAGGGCTCGCGCAGGGGGAACTGGACAAGGCGAGGAGCGTCACATTCATTGCTACCTCGTCCAGCACGGCCAGGAGAGCGCGCGCCCTTGCTTTGATGCTTCAGCCAGGCATCGACCCAGTGATTCACGCCGAACTCGCGCCCGTGATGACGCTGCGGCACGCTAGGCGGGAAGGCTGGGTGCCTCGCCACATGATCGACTTTGCCTGTGTGAAGGTCGAGCATCTACCAGGGCGCATGTGCAGGGCCCGCTGTCTGCGGTCGTCGTCACGCTGCGTCGGATTGGCTGGGGCATCACTGGTGCCGGTCGTTGGAGGTGCCACGGCGGGGCGGAGGGCGCCGTCGAGAGCTGGCAGCGGCGGCAAGTCGCGGCCTCTCCAGGCTGCGAGCACTTGGCGCGAGATGGGGCCCTGGGGCCGCCGGCGCGCCTCACGACGACGGGCCTCGTCGACAGCGCGCGCGCGCGCCCCCAGAGGTACCGGCCAGGAGCCGCGCAGGAGAGTGAGGCTCACGCCGAAGGAGCGCGGGCACATCGGGTCGCTGGTCACCGACGGCCAGTGGCCGCAGGCGACGGCGAGACAGGCGGAGAAGGACATGGCCTCCTCGGGCGACTGCTCTCGCTGCAGACAGCGGGGCACGCTGCTGCACAGGCATTGCGACTGCGACAGCTGGAAGGGCGTCTTTCGGGCGCCGGCCGCGATCCGGAGGTTGCGCGAGCGCGCGGACCTCGCCAGGCCCACTCACTGCGAGCAGGTGCGCTGGCGAGGACTGCGTGAAGGAGTCATTCCGTCGGGCGAAGTTTTCTTCGACGGCTCAGCCTTCGAGTCGGCGTTTGACGGCTATGCTTCGGCGGGCTGGAGCGCAGTGGCATTGCGGCCAGCGGCGGACGAGTGCTAGATGTCGGTCTCGGGTCAGTTGTGCCAGCCCTACATGGACATCAACGGCGGCGAGCTCATGGCCTTCGCCATGATCCGATCGTCGCCGTGGTCGACCGCAGGTACGTTTTCAATGGAGTGATGCATGCTGGCCGCCCCATCCCCTCTAGCTGCTGTCACGCCTGGGCCCACCTGTGGAGAGTCGCTTGGGACCTGATCGACGACATCGGCGGCGACGGAGGCGGCGGCGGAGAACGGGGGGCCCGCGCGCGGTGGATCCGCACGCAAAAGACCCGACGGCAGGTGCGGGACGGGGCAGTCGCCCACAGTGTTGCAGGGACTCGCTGGGCAACAAGTGCGCGGACGTGGCGGCTTGATGGGCGGCCGACCACGGGCGCATTCCTCCCAGCGATCGCGCCAAGTGGAGGGCGGAGCGCGGCCTGGTCGGCGGCGCAGCCATGCGGTGCAGCGCCGTCGGCCGCCGGTTCGACGGCAGCGACGCGAGCCACGGCCGAAGGCGAAGCCACAGCCCGCAGTCGAGCGGCCGAGCCAGGCTGCAGGCGAGGAGGCGGCGACGAGCACGTGCGGTCTGCGGGGCCCGCCTGGTCAGCAGTGGTGCGCGCGGCGCAGATGGCTGCGACGGGCCGGAGAGTGCCCAGACGGCATCGTCCCGGCAGCGCTGGCCACCAACCGGCGCCTGCGCAAGCGCGGGATGAGCCACCACCGAGCGGTCACGATCCAGCCACAGGGGGGCGGCCAGCTGACGCGCATGCTGCCCTTGGTGGCGTGCCACACGTGCCGCTTCTCGGGCGCGGTGAGGGCCTCCAGCATCGCGGGGGCGAGCGCGGAGCGCCGTCGTCTGCGGGCCCGGCGGTCCTGGCTGGGCTCGCCGGCCAGGTGGCGCCTAAGCCGGGCAGCCGCGTGCCGGTCTTCTTGCAGGACCTGCCCAGCGCGGTGGGCGGCGATTTGCAAGAGCCCCAGGCGCCGCCGCCGCGGTCCCAGAGTCCTGGCGGCGGCGGCGCCGGGGCGCTGGATGCCTCTCACCTGGGCGGGGGGCACCCAAGCGGCGCAGCGGAGGGCGGGCGCCCAGGGTGTCGCCACAAGTCCCCTGCAACAAGTCCCCTGCCGCATGCGAGGCCAGCTGGAGTGACGCGGAGGGCGGCGGCGGCGGCGGCGGGCCGCGGAGAGGGGGGAAGTGCCGCCAGCGCGGCGCCCCCGGGGGCCGTCGCCGCGGTCAGCCCGACCTGCGTGCGACGGCGAGGAGCTTGAAGCGACCGCCGTGCAGCGCAAGGTAGTTTGGCCATTCTCCTCCTATCGCCGAGGCTGTGTAGCGGCGGGCGTTTGGTTAAGAGATGTGAGCGAGCCCGTCCGAGGTGGTCCCCAAGGGGCCAGGCGCCTCGGACGTTCGGCTGGATCTGCCTCGTCTCCTGGCCACGACGGGCCCGAGGGGCTTGCCACCGACCCGTGTCCTGGGGTGCCGCCTGGCCCGAGGGCATGAGGGTGGACTCTGGCCGCGGTTGGCGCTTGCGGGCAGGCGCCAAGCGCGGTTGGAGTCCTGCGGCGTCGGGGTGTCCTCGTCGCCAGGGTTGCCGTGCGTGTGCACGGCGAGCAGACGCGGCCTGCCGGACTGGCCGCCTCCAGGTCGTGCGCGACCTCCTCCTCCTCCTCCGACATTTCCTCATATATATATATATATATATATATATATAACTCCTCCCTGTCGCACCCCGAGGCCAGTCGACAGGGCGTGCCACGCGTTTCGCTTAAGTGTTCTTCACCACTCATGAGCCTGAAGCTAAACAACTGGCAACCGTTTCACAGATGAAGGGCGGACCGCTTCCAGAATCTGGCTCTCCCTTCCGCGCCGTGCACGGTCGGTTTCAACGTTTTGTGGAGCTTCACAGGCTGAGGGTGGGTGGTTTTCATAATGTGGCTCTCTCCCGTGCGTTGCGCACACTGGTGCTCGAACAACTCCAGCGTTTAGTGGATTGAGGGCAAGTCGTTTCTAAAACATGGTTTTCGCCTCATCACCGCGCAGCTTTAGGATTTTTTGTCAAAAAGAGGAGCTTTACATATTGAAGGCGACTCGTTTTCAAAATGTGGTTCTTGCTTTAGCGCCGCGCACATCCGCTTTCAACAGTTGCACAAGTTGAATGAGTGGTCATGGGTAACGTACCAGACTGTATCTTTCGCAGCCACTCGGGGTTGTCAATGCGCAACAGTTGCGTTGATTCGTGTTGTTGAAGTCCCAGGAATGGCCTCTGGCACGTCTTAGGATCGCTAGTACGTAATAGTCAGGTTTACTCGTGGCGCTGAAGTGTTAAGAGTGGTGTTCTGGCACGCTTTGGCACACGGTTGCCCCCCAACGGGGCAATTCCCTCAGTTCCATCAGTGGAGATGAACTTTGCAGGGGCCTATGAAGGGGGAGCCTGGAGGGAGGGTGTATTTCAACGTCGTTGGTGAGCCTTGGGTTTGCATTGGTCATCTCAGTCCCCCCCGACCGTGGTGACGCTTTCCTGGCCGGCCACTTTAGAGCTCTGCTGTACTCGAGCTTCAGAGTGGTACGAGTCCGTGTCTGTGCGCGTTGCCAGGGGATGGCAGCAGCTCGTCGATGGGAACGGTGATAGCCCCCATGAGGGGAAGCTGTTTCGATATTTAGACTCAGTTCTCTTCCGACCAGAAAAGCATTCTGTGCTTGTGTTCTTCGGTCGCGACCATGGGGGGGGACGTTCAAATTCGAGGCAGCCCGTCGTCGTCCACGGCGACCTGAAGGACTCCAACGTTTTCGTGGAGTGGCGGCGCAGCGGGAGCAGGGGGTGTTCGTACCACGCCAAGCTGCTCGACTTTGGCCTCTCGCGGCTCCTCACCCGGAGCGCGAGGAACAGAAACGGCCAACACACAATTTCTCAGAGGGCTGCCGGGCGGGCCCAGCGCCGATCCAAGACATCTGCGTGGGGCTCAGAGATCTGACGCAGCACCCCACAGTTTGGGATAAGAGTGATGGGGGTTTGGCGGGTGGGTTGCGGGGTTGGTCGTGGGTGGGTCGCGGGTGGGTCGCGGGTGGATCGCGGGGGGACGACGACAACGACGACGACGACGATGCCGACGACGGCGTCGACGACGACGACGGCACGACGCCGACGACGACCACCACAACAAGAACAGCAATCATAACTTCAAGATTGTTGGTTCTAGTCTGCTCGCGAGCCATTGGAAACGTATATCTCGAACCCTCGATACCTGATTTCTTCGTCTTCGATCGTGCCCGCCCTGGGGGTATATCTCCCTTCCCTGCCGCGGGCAGCTGGCGCAGCCGCTAAAGGAAGGTGAAGGCGGGGGGAGGGAAGAGACAATCAGGAGGGGAAAAAGACACAGACACACTTAATCGTCGATTCCCAGGAACATCTGCGAACATATGGGAAGTGGGGGGGAGGGCAGAAACTTTGAGCATCTCTGAAAATAGAGGGAATCCTGTTATCTGTGTGTGTGTGTATGTTTATTCGTGTGTCCTGGGGCCCCATTCAGACGAGGGGGATGGAGCAGGATGCAGCGCGAGAGAGATCTGCAGTGGGAGGGTCAGGAGCAGGAGCAACAGCGGCAGATGCCAGACGGGCGGGCCCGGCAGGCGGATCCCTGTGGGCACTCCGGGCGGGGCCGGGCCAACACGGCCGTGTTTCGAGCGGGCAGGCCGCCGAGGCGTCAATCCAACAGTCCTCCTCCTCCTCCTCCTCCTCCTCTTCCTCCTCCTTGTCCTCCTCCTCCTCTCCCTCCTCCTCCTCCTCCTCCTCCTCCTCCTCCTCCTCCTCCTGCTCCTCCTCCTCCTCCTCCTCCTTCTCCTCCTCCTCCCCCTCCTCCTCCTCCTCCTCCTCCCACGCAGATCGCGAGCAGATCAAGAGCGAAAGCGTGATTCTGGAGTCCAGTCTCGGGGGCGGCAAAGAGGGGGGTGATGACTAGGGGGGGGGGGGATATCACGGCGGGGGCCATGATATTTCCCCAGACTTCGTGGCGCCTCTTCTTATTTCATTGCGTCCCTGGCCCCCCCGCTGGGCCGCGCACATGCCGCCGGTCATGATTTGCACCCCCCCCTCTTGGACACCCCCCTCTTGGCCGCTCCCGACAGTGGGCACGGCGTCGCAATGCATTGTGCGGAAGGGCCGCGCGCGAGCGCGACATCTGCATACATGGAGGGGGAAGCCCGCGCGACAGCGCGATCTGAAATATGTTGTGAGGAGGTCTCAAGCGGGAGCCGGTGTTCTTGTTGTGGCAGTTCGGGGGCAAGCGGCCCACTCTGAGCCGCAAGACGTTCCCGTTGTTGTAAACAGCAGGGTGCGAGCCCCAGGCGGTGCATTTTTTCCCGAACGCCAGGTGCACTGGGTGGATCAACAATACTCAATCATTGTATGACTGCTCACGCTTTTCTGCTCGCGTGCCAGTCAACACGTATATCCCAAGCCCTGGATACCCGCTCTCTTCGTCTCAAATCGTGCCCCCACCGGGGGAATGTCTTCCCTACCCGCCAGGCGTAGCTGACGCAGCCCCTCGAACAGCGGAAGGACGGGAGGAGGGAAGAGACAGGGGGGAGGGAGAAGGATGGCGAGAGAGATTTGCTGGAGGGGGGTCGGGAGCAGGATCACAAGCGGCAGGATCAGACGGACGGGTCGGGCGGGCGAGCCCCAACGGGCCGGTCGGGCGCACGGACCCCGACGGCCGGTTCGAGCGGGCGGGTCGCTGAAGCGTCAGTCTGACATGAGTCGCAAGGGAGTTTTGAGCGATGGCGCAGTTCCCAAGTAAGTCGTCGTGAAATCCAGAGCGAGAGCGTGGTTCCTGAGTCCTGGGGGCACGGTGGCGTTTGAATGCGTTGAAATGGTGAATTGCTTCGTGAGAGCGCTATTTCTGCACACATTATGCAGGGCCTGCGCGAGAGCGCGATTTTGAAATACATTGCGATGAAGTGCCAGGCGGGAGCCGTTGTTGTTGTAAGTCAGGGGGCCTGGGGCGCAATCTGTGCATGAAGATCTCTTCTGTGAAAAACAGTGTGCGAGCCCCATCACGATGCCACCCGCTCTTGGGGGAACGATGCGAATAAAAGGTTGCGATGTTCCACACCCAGATATCCCGCCCATGGTCGTCTCAGGAGGGGAAAAACACACAGACACAACAATTAACCGCCGACTCCCAGGAACATATGGGAACATATGGGAAGTGGGGGGGATGACAATAGCTAGAAAATATGCGACACTATGTGAACTCGTGCTATTTGTGTAGTTATTTGTGTGACCCAGGGCCCCTTGATGGTCGAGCCAGCACCTTTCCCTAAGCACTTTCCCACTTCCAGCCTGCACTACACATAGATAATCAGTGCGACTTCGGGAAGCGGTGAGGACTCCAGACGCGCAAGGTTCGATCCCCTAGACAGGGGCAATCTGCAGGAACATGCGTAGAACACAAAGGATTGGAGCCCGAGTCGAGTGGCAATCATCCTCAACATATCTGCATTATTCCTCATCATATCTATATGTATGGCAGCATAGAGAGAGGAACATACGTCACACGCAAGAAGGGTTTCGAGCCCCAGCCAGCGGGACGATCTATAGGAACAAACTCGAAACACGAATGATTCGAGCCCTAGGAGAAGGACGCTCTGTAGGATCACGCGTAACTGCACAAATGACGCGAACCCCTTGTGAAGGGCTGCAGAGCGTACGGTGGCGAAGCTCATGGGGGCGAAGCCTACGGGTGCCGAAACACATCCCCCGAACATGTATCCCCATGCAGAAAAGATGGCACGCGTGCTCTGGCTCTTGTAGATTTGCGGAGGGAAGGAGGTGGAGGCGCCGGTGGGGGGATCGAGGAGACAAGAAGGAGGAGGAGGAGGAGGAGGAGCAGGAGGGAGGAGGAGGAGCAGGAGGAGGAGGAGGAGGAGGAGGAGGAGGAGGATGAGGAGGAGGAGGAGGAGGGGAGAGGGAGGAGGAGGAGGAGGAGGAGGAGGAGGAGAGGAGGAGGAGGAGGAGGAGGAGGAGGAGGAGGAGGAGGAGGGAGGAGGAGGAGGAGGGAGGGAGGAGGAGGAGGGAGGAGGAGGAGGAGGAGGAGGATGAGGAGAGAGGGAGGAGGAGGAGGAGGAGAGGAGGGGGGGGGAGGGGAGGGGGGAGGGGGAGGGGGAGGGGGAGGGGGGAGGGGGAAGGGGGAGGGGGAGGGGGAGGGGGAGGGGGAGGGGGAGGGAGGAGGAGGAGGAGGAGGAGGAGGAGGAGAGGAGGAGGAGGAGGAGGGGAGGAGGAGGAGGAGGAGGTGGGGCCAAAGCACCTCCATGCTGAATCAGCGGTTGTCGACTGCGACCTGCTCGAATGACTTGTTTGACAGCTGTGGCGCGGTAGATTTTTCGAGGCTGGGCCAGGGGGGGAGGCTGTGTCCAGGGACAGGGCCAGCGGGGCGAGGGGGGCTGGGGCCAGGACCAGAGGGGGTTGGCTGGGTCCAGTGCATGGACCACGGGGCCGAGGGGGGCTGGGGCCAGGTCCAGGGGGGAGGTTGGCTCCAGGGCCAGGACCAGGACCAGGGGGACAACGACGAACGAAAATAAAGGGTCTGGCGCGAGGGGTGGCTCGGGCCAGGGCCAGGGGAGGAGGCCGGGTCCAGGGTCAGGGCAAGGGGTACGACGAGCGAAGAGAAAGGGTCCAGGGCGAGGGGGGCTAGAGCCAGGGCCAGGAGAGAACGCTGGGTCCAAGGACAGGACCAGAGGGGCCGACGTCGAGGGGGCTGGGGCTAGGGGGGAGGTTGGGTCCAGTGCCAGGACCAAGGGGGCGACGACGAGGGGGGCTCGGGCTACCAAGGGGGGAGGCTGGGTGCAGGGCCAGGACCAGGGGGACGACGACGAGCGAAAATAAAGGGTCCGGCGCGAGGGGAGCTCGGGCTCGGGCCAGGGGAGGAGGCTGGGTCCAGGCCAGGGCCAGGGGTACGACGACGAGCGAAAATGGAGGGTCCAGGGCAAGAGGGGCTGGAGCCAGGGCCAGGGAAGGACGCTGGGTCCAAAGACAGGACCACAAGGGGGCGACGACGAGGGGGGCTGGGGCTAGGACCAGGGGGGGGGGCTGGGTCAAGGGCAACGACCAGGGGGACGACGACGAACGGAAATCCGGGGCGAGGGGGGCTGGGGCCAGGGCCAGGTGAGGAGGCTGGGTCCAGAGCAGGGCCAGCGGGGCGAGGGGGGCTAGGACCAAAACCAGGGGGGGAGGTTGGGTCCAGTGCCAGGACCAGGGGGACAACGACGAGGGGAGCTGGGGCTAGGACCAAGGGAGGAGGCTGTGATCAAGGCCAGGACCAGGGAGACGACGACGAGCGAAAATAAAGAGTCCGGCGCGAGGGGGCTAGGGCGACGGGGCGCTCTGGCTGGTGGGGAGGGGTTTTGTGAAGAGGACGTGCGGGAAGGGGGGGGTCGAAATGAAAAGGTCGGGGCGGAGGGGGCGCGCTGGCTGGTGGGTGGGGCAATGCGCAGGGGGCGTGCGGGATGGGGGGGCGTGCCGAAATGAAAAGGTCGGGACAGAGGGGCGCGCTGGCTGGTGGGTGGGGTGATTCGGAGGGGGCGCGCGGGGGTGACGTGCCGAAATAAAAGGGTTAGGGTGAAAAGGGCGCGCTGGCTGGCGAGTGGGGGGCGCGGACTGGGGGGTGGGGGATGCGGAGGGGGGGCGCGTGGGATGGGTGGGGGGGTGCCATGCCGAAATAAAAGGGTCGAGGCGGACGGGGCGCGCTGGCTGGGGTGGGGGGGATGCGGGAGTGGCGCGTGGGATGGAGGGGGGGCGGAATAAAAGAGTCGGGCGGAGGAGGCACGCTGGCTGGTGGGTGGGGGATGGTGGTGTGGGTGTGGGCGGGACGAAATAAAAGGATCGGGGCGGAGGGAGGGAGCGCGGTGGCTGGTGGGCAGGGGGGATCCGGAGCGGGCGCGTGTGAGGGGGGGGGGGCGTGCCGAAATTAAAAGGGTCGGGGGGGAGGGGGCGCGCTGGCTGGTGGGTGGGGGAAGGTGATGTGGGAGGGGGGGGGCCTGCCGAAATGCAAAGGTCGGGGCGGAGGGGGCGCGTGGCTGGTGGGGGGGGGGGGGCGGAAGGGGGCGCGGGAGGGGGGGGGGCCGTGCCGAAAAGGGTCGGGGGAGGGGGGAAAGAAATAAAAAGGGTCGGGGCGGAGGGGGCGCGCCGGCTGGCGGGTGGGGGGGATCCAGAGGGGGCGCTGGCGGGTGGGGAGGTGCGGAGGGGGCGCGTTGGGGGGGGGTGCCGTGCCAAGATAAAAGGGTCGGGGCGGAGGGGGCGCGCTGGCTGGTGGCTGGTGGGTGGGGGGGTGCGGAAGGGGCACTCGGGATGGGGGGGGGCGTGCTGAAATACAAAGGTCGGGGCGGAGCGGGCGCGCTGGCTGGTGGGTGGGAGATGGTGGTCTGGGTGGGTGGGTGGGGGGGGGGCGTGCCGGAATAAAAAGGGTCGGTAATGAGGGGACGCGCTGGCTGGCGGGTGGGGGGGATGCGGAGCGGGCGGGTGGGATAGGGGGGGGGGCGAAATGAGAGGGTGTGGGCAGAGGGGGCGCGCTGGCTGGTGGGCGGGTGGACGGGGTGGGGGAGATGGGGGCGCGCTGGGGGCGCGCTGGCTGTTGGAATGGGTGGGCTATGGAGGGGGGGCCGTGCCGAAGTGAAGTGGCCGGAGCTTTAGACCCCCTGTGCAAGAAAATAACTCCTGTGGGCTCTCGGGGCCTCCTGGGGCCTCCTGGGTCCTCCTGGGGCCTCCTGTGGGCGGGGGGGGGGGGGCGAACAGCGCTCCCCGTACACACATCCCAATACAGAAAAGCGTCTTCGGGGGACTCCTGGGGCCTCCTGGGAGCGGAGGGGCCGCGAGGCACTCCCCGAATACATATTCCGACGCGGCGTGTCGCCCTGGGCCTCCTGGGGGCGAGAGGGCCGAAAAAACGCCCCCCGATCAGGTATCCCTGGAGCGTCCTGGGGCTTCCGCTTCCTGGGGCCTGCTCAAGGAGGGGCATGACTGCTCTGGCGGATTCTCCTGTGCTGCTGACTTGTGAGGGCGTCTCATGTGAAACGACCCTTGCGGCATCCGCGAGTAGCAGCACGAATTCTCTGAAGGATCCCCCTTGCGCTGCCGAGGTGCAAAGACGTCTCGTGCGCAAATGACGCTCTGGCATCTGCGAGTAGCAGCAGCCTGGTTTTGAAGGACACTCTTGCAGCGCTTCATTGCGAGGAAGTCTCAAGCGAAACGGCCGTTCCGCCATCCGCGAGCAACGGCAAGACTGCTCTGAAAAAAAACCCTTGCGGGCGCCCTTCCTCAGGTGCGGGCCCTCTCTGGCCAGGGCCTCTCGGAGTGAAGTGTGAGGAGGTATCCCACTGGAGCGTTGTTGTTGGTGTTGGTGTTGGTGGTGGCGGTGGTGGCGGTGGTGGTCGTGGTGATGGTGCGGCGGTTTGGGCGGTACCCCGAAACACCCGAGCGTCAGCCTCAATTTCAAAAAAAGTGTAGCCAGCGCCGAAGCGAGAGCGCCAAAACGCTTATTGTGGGTCCAGCGGTAATAATATTTTAAAGAAGTTCACATTCAACAGCAACACAACCCAAGCAACGGAACATTAGCAATCATTCTCACAACGGAATCAGTCTTCGGCTACGCGACCAGGGACAATTCATGACCGTTCGGCCCCCTGACTCTGATGTTAATGCCGTTTTCTGTTCCTCTAGGAATGCCAAGTCCCTGGGCGGGACGCTGCGGTGGCTACCCCCAGAACTGCTTGCTCGTCCCCCTCCCGACGCCACCGCCGACTGCTACTCGTTCGGGCTGCTGATGTACCCCGAATTTAGCTGCCCTGATACGCCAGATTTTGGACCGCAGCCCGTGCCGTGTTCAAACAGGATGGGTTGAACACGGTACGTGTTGGTTGGGCAATTGTCGGCGCACGTTTGAACGAACGCATCGTGCCAGATCGATGTTTTGATTTTACGTGTTGAGCACAGTGTCAACACCACGCCGCGGGTTGCGTGTAACGTATCGGGGCAGCTGGGACCGCGAGAGCTGACGTCACAAGCCAAATTATACGTCACTATACAATTATTTGTTGCGTCGCCGGCTAGGCAGACCCCGAGAGCTGACGTCACAAACCAAACAGACATCACTATACAAAAACATGCAACCCGAGCCCTGGGTCGGTTTGTCGGGGATGGCCCGTGCGGAACGCATCCGTGCGACCGCGTATCCCAGGGATCGCGCCCCGGAGTCCGGACCGCGAGGGTGTGGACACGGACACGTTCGCCCTTGACATGCTGCGGCAGTTGTCGAGTCGGACTGATCCTCGAGGGCCCCGGGGCCCGAAGCTGGGCAGGACAGCGCCCGCTGTGGAACAAAGGCTCGGAGCGCCCAGCTCCCAAAGGTACTTCATCGTGACGGAGCGCCTGCCCTACGAGGGAAAGAGCGCCGACCAGGTCTTGGCATCGCCCGAACGTGTGCACTTTTTCTCGGCGAGAACCATCGAGGACCATCCTGGACCATCGAGCAAAAAAACACGCGCGAAACCGGAAAATGCACGGGAAATGGACGTCCGAGCGACGGCAAGAGGTGCTCAAGCGGCTGCGGCGCGGGCAGCTGCCAACGCTCCGGTGGCCCGCGCCGCTGGGGGACCTGGGGCACGCCTGCCGACCGCTGGTGGAGCAGTGCACCCAGCTGAAGCCCGCCCTGCGTCCGACAGTGCAGCAGGCCTCGAGGAAGGACAAATAGCATACACGCAAACTTCCCGAGCTCCGCGCGGTCTTCTCGGATCTCTTCGGCAGCGGTTCCTGGAGGCCGTTCTTGGGCCCCGGGACCGTCTGAAACGGATGCCGGGCGAAAGTCGGGCCCCCTCGGAAGAGGTCGGCAGAAGAAGTTGCATGCACGTGAACTTTTGGGATGTCCACGCGGACGCAAGGGAGGGACAAACCCCCCACCAACGGCTCTGGGGGGGTGTTGAACGGTGCGTCCACTGAACTGCTTTGCCTGCCGGGGTACTTACGACGAGGGTGTTTTTTTGTTCTGCTGCTATTTTCGAAGAGGAGAAGCTGCACTAGCGCGAATCTTCGGAGCTCCGCGCGGATTTCTCGCGGCGCCTGGGCCCTCCTGCATGGCGGCGCCTTCGGCGCCAGGGAGGCAGAGCCAAGAGATCCGCGCGGAGCTCAAAACAATACTCTATTTGCGCCGGTCGAAATTTCGGCCGACTTAACCAAAATGGGTTGGTCGGTTCCCCGCCCGCGCCTCTGCGAACAGCACCGGCGTCTACAAAGGTTTGCTCGCGCGCCTCTGCTCATGCAGTTTCTTTGCTCCTCGGAGGTCAGCGACGAGCTGTCTCTGACGCTGAGCCACGTCGCGGGCGGCGCGGCGGAAGCGGCGCTGGAGAACATCCGCGCTGGGTCCGCGGACACGATGGGCCTGTTTGCCACCACCACCAGAAGTTGGAGGGGGAGGGAGGCCTCCTCCTCCGCCTCTTCGTCCTCCTCCTCCTTCCCCCCTCCAACTTATGGCAGTGGTGGTGGAGAGCAGGCCCATCAGGACGCGGCCGGGAGCGACGAGCTCCAGGAGTTCGCCGGCGTGGTGGAGGTGAGGCAGGCCAGCAGCAGCAGCCTCGGCTCGTGGGTGCTCAGGAGGGGAAAGAACACACAGACACAATGAATCGTCGACTCCCAGGACCATATGGGAAAAAATATGGGAAGTGGGGAGGAAGTATGGGGAGTCCTGTTATTTGTGTCCATTGCTTTGTGTGTCCCAGTGCCCCTTCAGGTGCACCGCCTCGGCTCCGGGGACCTCCCCCCTGTGCAGGAGCACGAGGTGCTGGTGTCTGGGGAGGCCCCAGACAGTGCTGCAGCGCCGCCGCCAAGGATCGGGGGAGGAAAAGACATCTTCGCCTAGAACTTCGGGTCAGGGCGAACCCCAGGATAGGCCCGGGGAGTAGCGACGCCGGGACCTCTGCGTTTCCCCAGAGGACGTCCAGAGAGCCCCGCAAGGCTCGCAGAGAGCCGGCCAGCCTGGTCCACCCGGGGTACAGGCCGACGCCGCTGAGCACGCAGACCCTCACGCTGGCGTATCTGCTCTTGCAGTGGAACGTGCAGGTGCGGGCAAGATTTATATCAATTTTTCCAAGGGGCGCCACAAGGCCGAGGTGCACTGGACATGGATAATAATCGAGCCTCTAGGGGGCAAATTTATCCATATCCAGTGCGCCTCGGGTTTCTGGGGAAGGGAGCCCGAAACTTTACACTGCAGTGGACATGGACAGAAGTGCTGCTCGCAGCAGGTGCCGGGGAGCGCCTGCTGCTGGCTGCACGGCATCCTGCGCGCCGTGGAGAGGGTGCACCGGGAGCTCCGGCGCAGGCCGTGCAGCCAGCAGCTCGAGGGCGCGTTCTCCGGGCAGTGCGGCCAGTGCGACCTGATGCTGCCGCTGGGCACGCTCACGTGCGAGTTCTGCGAGTGCCCGGGGGGCTCGGGCGGTGTGGCGCAGCAGTCGAGTTCGAGTGAGGCGATCGTCGTCTGAGGCCCGAGCCAGCGTCTCCTCGCGGAGGAGGGGGGGTGGCCCTGCGGGGCGGCGGAGAAGCACCAGCACTGTTCTGACTGTGAGTGCTCCCTCGCGCCGGTAGGGTGATTTCAAGGTCCTCTTGCTCCCGAGCATCTCTCTTGGCGAGGCCATTTGCTTGATCGCCCTGATGCCATCCACAAGCAGAGCTGCCCAGGGATCTCGATTCGCCGATGTGGCGATCGCAATCTGGTGGACTTGCGTGAGCGGTAGTGGTATCGGCGATAGTGCCGTTTATACCCGATGCTCAGGGCGCAGCCGCCAACCCCTTGGCATTCTTGAGTTGGGGGGTGGTCACAGCAGACGGTGATTGTCTGCCCCGGGGAACTGAGAAGCAGCAGGGGAGGGAACATGGAGGATGAGAATGAGGAGGACAACGAGGGCGAGGATGATGAGGAGGGTGAGGAGAGGAGCAGGGTCAACCCAGGACACGCCACTGATACTTCGATGAATCTTCCTGTCCCAACCCCCCTCCTCACTCAGCACATGTTTTTGTCATCACAAGGGTCGCATTGGAGACTCCCCGGGAAACGGTAACGTCCCCTATGGACCGGTTTCTGGGATACCCGTTTAAGAAACAAGTAACACCAACGCGTTAGATTGCACATTCCGATTTGACCAAACGGCTGTTCAAAATGCATTCGCCCTTCACCCATGTACCTGGTGAGAGCCTCAGGGATAGTGTACGCCGTGACGGAGCAAGGGTGCGATTCTGCAAAGGATCCATTCTCCCACAGAGGATCGTTCTGAGAATTTCAAGTTGTATGTTATCTGAGCGGAAGGCAACCAGAACCGTGATCAAGGTGTTGGAAGGAACCGCTCTCCATTTGTGTATGGTTTTGGTTTTTCAAGCTCTGGGTTGGACCACAACTCGTCAGGAAGTCTGAGATATAGGCAGGGTTTGAAAATGGCCTGCCCTTCATCCATGGATCGTTTGGGAACTTGTATGATAATTGTTCGCGGCGCTGGGGCGACAAGCGCTTTCTGAAAACCAGACGCCCTCCATCGGTGTACTTGCTGTGTGCTCTTAAGGCGAACGCGCGCTGCCTGGAAGCGAGAGACAGGCTGGAAGATAATTATCCCTCCATATGGCTAATAGTTTTGGAAACGTTTGAGACAGATGCGTGACGCTAAGGCGAGAGCCACATCTTGACCTTCAGCCTCCATCTGTCTAGGTTGTGAAGCCTTGTTTGGTCCAGGCAAGGGTTTTGACACACGCCTGGCTCCCATCCGCTCAATTGTAAGATGTGTTAGAGCAGTCGAGTGGCCAGGTATAGACGCGGGACACGTGTTCTGACATGCGGTTGAGGTCTGCCCGTGCAGCTGCTGGATGTCTGGGGGAAACTTTCGCGTGAAAAGCTCAGCATGCCCAGGACGAGATGGTTAGTGGTAGCAAAGGGGAGTGATCCTCCTCCTCCCTCCTCCTCCCTTCTCCCTCCTCCCTCCTCCCATTTCCCTCTCCTCGTCCTCCTCCCCCTCCTCCTCCTCCTCCTCCTCCTCCTCCTCCTCGAGGGACAGTGGAGATGGAGGCCTGCGATCCTTCTTGGTGTGCCTCGTTGCTTTCTTTGGGGCCTGGTTCGTGCTTCTCGGAGTCCTCTTCGGGCCCTCATGGGCTGTTTTGGGGGCGTCCTTGCTGTCTCTGATGGCGCTCGCGGGCCGTCTTGGCGCTGGAGCCGTCTTTGAGGCCTCTTGGGCCGTCTTGGATCCTTCAGGATGCCATCTCGGAATGTCTTGGGGCTCCATTTGGGCCCTCGTGGGTTGTGTTGGGAGGTTCCTGGGTCACTCCTGGGCTGTCTTGGGCCCCACCAGCACCCTCAGGCCACCCTTGCCTGGGGTCCCTCGTGCGCTTCCGGGCGCCCTTGTGGCGGTTTCTTTGGGGCACTTAGGGTAGCGTCGTTTTGGTAGCCCCTTGGGCTGTCATGGCCACGTTCTTGGAGCCCTCTTGGGACATCTGAAAGAGCGATTGCTGCCGCTACTGGCAGGCCCCGTCCCCGTTCGAACCGGAGAGGGAGAGTAGAACAGCCTCCCGGTGGTAAAACAGCCTCCCGCTCCGAACCCAGGAGGGGACAGCACCGAGAGGCCCGCCAGATCGGCGCAGACCCGGGGCGGGGGGGATTCCATCCCAGCTGGACCCAGCCTTGTTGGGATTCTAGTGGAGCCGGACTTTTCTTTTGTAGGATCCGTCGGGTCCTAGCAGGGTTGTTATTAGGCTGTGTCGAGCCCTCACAGAGTCCCAGTGGAGATGCATCCAGAGAGCAGTAAGGTCGCTTTCGGTTTGAATCGGGTGCTGGTATTTTTGTGGTAGAACCTGGATGCATCCCATAGTCGAACGCTGTCAAAGTTGGATCGAGCTCGAGTAGGTTTTTATAGAACTGGATGCAGCCCTCGAAGCAGCATTCAATTAGAGCCAGATCGAGCATTTGTAGCATTCCATTAGACGTGCATTCAGCCGTAGTAAGATTCCAGAAAAGCTGGATCTAGCCCATGATAAAGTTCGACCGAGCCTTAGTCGGGTTTCATTAGAACTGGACCCAGCGCAAGTAAGAGGATCCGCTTAGAGTTGGACCGGACATCTGTAGGATTCCATTAGAGCTGGATCCAGCCTTGAGATCCAATTCGAGCTGGACATAGCATTTGTAGGATTCTATGAGAGCTTGTTCGAATCCTCGTCAACTGGGGGGGGGTCCACTCCAACCAGTCCCCTGAAAGGGGGGTGGGTCCCCGCCTGTGGAGGTTGTATCTCCGCTCCCTGGAAAATGGGATTTGGTTGCAATTACACCTCCTAGTAGGTTCTGTGGTTCAGGGATCTGCTACAGCCAAACTGAAATTCCATTGTAGTGCTCGTGAGATCCACTTGGGTTACTGTGCTTCTTGACCTGCGAAATTCCGATTGAAATCGCGTTTCATGTTCACTTCGGGTATTCAGTATCTGGGCGCTGCTGAATTCCGAATGATAATAAGCCCGGCCTGGCTCCAACTGAGGTCCTCTGGAACTAGGATCTGCTCCATGGAAACTAAAATCCACTTGGACCCTGCACGATGCGGTCCTGCAGTTGTTTAACAACTGGTTGGTATCGTGCGAACCAAGGTCTACGATGTTTTGTTGTAGAGCGGGTCTGGTGAAACAGCGCGGCACTTCACGGGATGAGTGTGCACGCGCCCGCAAGTGAAGATCAGTCCTTGGGCAACGGGTTCGAACAGCTACGTCACGGGCTGGCAACACTCAGTTATATATATATATATATATATATATATATATATATGTATATATATATATATATAAGAACTAATGCGAGGAAGCGAGTAATCGACACTCCCGGACCGCCCGACCAAAGCAGCTGAAGGAAACGCGATGGAGGAGGCCGCTTGCGCAGGCAGCGCGGCGCCGCAGCAGCCGCCGGCTTCTTGCGCAAGTTTCTGGCGCTAAAAAACGAGCGGCCGACGTCGACTCGCGGTCTCTCGCGCGCGCTGGATGAATGCGCGCAGCGCGGCCCTGGGCAGCTCGTGCCCCTGATACCATTATGTGAGGAGTCAACTCGTCGCGGCCCGCGCCGCCAAATGCGTGGCGAACGTGCATGTTTAACAGGTTGCTCGAGCGTCGCGCCCCGCTCGGATGACAACGCTGCGGGAAGACAGCTTTCAGCTGCATGTGCACATTTTCGTTCCCCGTGGCCTCACGCATCGCATGGACATCCGGGTTCCGCGCAACGAATCGACCAAGGTTCAAGGGGTGCTCGAGTTGCGCAGGCGAGCGTCGAATTGGTGACGCTCCGCGTATGCCCACCAGCCCATCCAGAAACGATGCCCAGGGGAGTTGAGGTGATCAGGGACATGGGGGAACATGCAGAATAACAAAGGGCGGGGGAAGCAGTCCGAGGTGGGGAGCAGAGTTGAGCGAGGAGGAGGAGGAGGAGGAGGAGGAGGAGGAGGAGGAGGAGGAGGAGGAGGAGACGGATAAGGATAAGGAGGAGGAGGAAGAGGAGGAGGAGGAGGAGGGGAAGGAGGAGGACAAGGAGGAGGAGGAGGAGAAGAAACAAGAGACGAACATAAGGGCCGTCGGATGTCTTTTGGGAATGCATGTATGTGAAGGCCTCTTGGAACGTCTGGGGGTGCGTCGTGGGTGCCTCGGGGATCCTGTTAAAGCCTCTTGGGGGCCTTTTGGGAGCCTCTTGGAGGCATCTAGGACGCCTCGTGGGACCGATCCTCTGGGCGCCTCTTGGGGCCCTCTCGGGGCGCTCTTGGGTGCCTTGGGAGCGCTCTTCGGGCCAATTTGGAGGACTTCGATAAAAACACACGGGGGGGGGGTCCAAATTATCGTCGTCACCCTTGAGTGCTCAAACTCGCCTCTCGGGCCCCTTTTGGGGCCCTTGGAGCGCTATTTGGCGCTCTTGAGGCCGTCTCTCTTGCTCTGTTGTGCCCTCGCGGAACAGCCTTGATTGCGGCTTCGGAAGGCCATCGGAAGCGAACGGTCGAGAAAACACAACACATGGATGTTGGTGTTTTCGGGGCCTCCTTGGGGAGCTTTTTGGCCATTCGGAACCGTCTTGGAGCCGTTGTGGGGCCTCCTAGAGCACGTTTGGAGCAATATTGAGGCATCCTGGGGTGTTTTGAGCCATCTTGGGGCTCGTCTTGGGCTCCCCGAGGCGCTCTTGGAACCAGTTTGGGCCATCTTGGTCACCCCAACCCTCCGGGGGGGCCCCGTCCAGGTCCAGAAGGGGGGGAGGGGTCAAGCTACCCACCCGCCCGCAAGCCATCAAGCTCACTCCCACCCGCCCTCCCAACAGATAAGGCACACCCGAACCTGAGCATGTTCGGCGGTCGTCTTTGGATGGGCAGCTACCATGAACCAGAACCGACCCCAGGTGCGCGACGCTTGGGCGACGTGCGGCGCGAGCGCCAGGGGCGCGTCACGCGTGCCAGGGGCGCCACGCGCGCCAGGCACCCCTGGGGCCCGAGCGTGC